CATCTGGTTCCCACTGCTTTTTATGTCGCTAGTACGCTCTGTGGTCGGTGTGGTCAATCACCCCATTGATGTCACTGTCACCCTCAAGCTTGGTGGCTATGAGGTAAGAAGCCTGGGGATCTCTCCAAGGATCCTTGCCCTCTGCTTATTCCTACATTAGAGGGAACCAGGCCCCCCTAAGTCTGCCTGAGAACAGAACTTATCATGCAGAATTACCTAGTGACCGTTCAATGGGAAAGATATGGAAAGATAAGCAGGGATGGACAAAAGTTGCCCTCAGAGTCGATGGTTTGGGGCAGGGCAGTATAGTGAAAAGTACATATTGGGGGTCAAGAAACCTTTGCTACTATCTTCATGACCTTGGGCATGTCATTTCTCCTGGCTGGGCCTCAGTTCCCTCATCTGTAAAACAAAGAGGTTGAACTTCCCACCTAAAAACTCATTGTACCTATGCTCCAATTCTGGTTCATTACTAGCTATGTGATCTTAGCCAACTTCCTCTCTGGAACTTGGTGACCCCATTTGTCAAACTGGGAGTAGTGTACACAGGATTGTTATGACTGATTCAGTCATGGATACTTTTATTCATTCATTCATGCACACATGCAGTAGAAATATATTAAGCACCTAGTTTCTGCAGAGCACTGTGATGGGTGCTGGGGGAAGTACAAAGACCATCAGATATAGTCTTTGCCTTCACGGAGTTTCCAGTCTCGTAAAGGGATAAGACATAAATAGTTATTACATATTAGTAGTGCCTTGGAGAATTGCTTAAAAAAAAAAGTGAAATCTGAGTTTCAGGTCTTTACTATGAGTGAAGCCACCTTGGATTGGTGGCATTCAAATTGGGCAGGAATTCAACAGGCGAGAGAGGGAGGGCCATCCCAGGATAGGGCAGGGAAGTGCAGGCTGTGTTTGAGAATAGGTCCATTTGGCATGACCATGGGATCAGATTTAGAGCTGCAAGGGACCTTAGAATCCATCAAATCCAATCACCTTTATTTTACACATGAGGAAACTGAGGCACAGAGTGGTTAAGTGACTTGCCTAGGGTCACACAGCTGGTAAAGTATTTGAGACTGGATTCAAACTTAGGGCTTTCTGACTCCAAGTCCAGAGCTCTATCCATGATGCCACCTGGATGCTGCTCTGTGGATGAAAATAATGAGATACAAGGTGGAATGGAACCAGATGGTAAAGGCCTTTGAATGGCCAGGCAAAGATCTTTGAACTTAGTAGGATAAAAGGAACCAGTGGAGATGCCCTCAACAGTGTCTCTGAAGTCTAAGCTTTAACTTAAAACTAGCCTAAGACCTCTAGGACACTCTATCACCCTCTCAGGTATGCTTTAGAAGCAATTTATGTGAGGGCTTGATGAGTGAGGGGGTTGAGAGGAGAGATGGGAAGATGTGCTCAAAGGCTACTGCTGTAGTGCAGATGGATGGGTAATGAAGGACCAACAACAGACTGGTGCCAGAGTGAGCTAGACAAGGGAGAGATGCCACATAGCAGAAATGAACAGGAGTTGGCCACCGCTTTGTTATGGCAGATGAAGGAAAGGGTAGAGACCAAGACGGCCCCAGGGGAAATTGGGTGAAGTATGGCGCTGCTGACAGAGATGGTGGGGTCAGGAGAACCAGGTTTGGGGAGAAGGAAAAGCAGCTCAGTTCTGGATGTGTTGATTTGTAATTGCTGGTGAGATATCCAGGTGGAAATGCCCTGTATGCCGTGTAGGCAGCAGGAGTTGGGGGTTCACAGCTATAGATCTAAGAATCACCTGGACTGCATGAACATAGGTGGTAGCTGAAGCCATATGAGTCAATGAGATTGGAGCAAAGTGGAGTAAGAGGGAGAAATAACAGTGAGTGAAAGGAGAAGGGCTTACAAGGATGACAAGCAGATTTAATAAGTTAGAGTTTACATAGGACTTTGATGTTTATAAAGCACACACACACACACACGCATGCACGCACACATACACACATATATAAAATTTCATTTAATCCTTACAATCCTGTGAGGTAGGTGCAGTTATTATCTCAGTTTTACAGGTGGGGAAACTGAGACTGAAAAATGTTAAGTGGCTTGGCCAGTGTCACATAGCTAGTGTCCAGCAGTCTAGCCACTGTGTTACCAAGCCATCAATAGTGTGAATGGAAGAGATAGAAGGTCGTGATTGGGAGAGTTCAATTCCAACATTTAGGGACCTGGAGGTAGTGTAATAATCAAGAGATGGTAAGGTCTAGAGTATGACCATGACGGCGCTTGGCTGAAATGTGGTGGAGGTTGTTGGGTTTGGGGGAAATGGAGAAATCGAGGTTGTTGTAGAGACTGTCTATACAAATATTAGAATGCCTGGAGATGGTGGCCATGATGGAGATGACATAGGGTAGGGGAATAAGACGACAGATCAGGAGCCAGGTACTGAGGTCAACGGTTTGAGAGCGGAGCACTAAGTGATAGAAAGAGAAGGTATAAATGACATTGTGTAATGGAAAGGTCCTCAAGGTGGTAGAAAAAGGATCTGGCAATGGGACTGGGGGACAGAGAACCTGCTGACACCTCCCCCTCGCTTGTGGAGAGTGGTCTGAGCACAGCCAGGGTCCTCCTCAGTTGAGAAGAGGGAAAGGAATGTTGCTTGTAGGAGGTGGGGGTTGAGGGGAGAGATGGCATCCTGCAGAGGGAGCTAGAACTAGGGGTGGAGGGGGACGACTCCCAAGACTGAACCAACTCTCCCACCACCCCACCCCCCAGCCCTTGTTTACCATGAGTGCACAGCAGCAATCCATCGTGCCTTTCACACCTGACACCTACGAAAAGCTGACCAGGAAATTTGACCCTTTTCCGGTAAGCTGCCCTGCCCCCTGGAGTGACGTGTGGGTAGGGGTGGTCAGATGGGAAAGGGGGGACCAGAGGGGCACAAGGGGCTGGGGGCGGGCCAGCTGACCCTGTACTCCCTTCCACTCCAACACAGCTGGCCATGCAGTTCATTAGCCAGTACAGCTATGAGGACATTGTCACGGCACAAATCGAGGGCAGTTCAGGGGCCCTGTGGCGCATCAGCCCCCCAAGTAGGGAACAGATGAAAAAAGAGCTATACAACGGCACGTCCGACATCACCCTTCGGTTCACCTGGAACTTTCAGAGGTCTGGGGGCTCACGAAGGGGTGAGGGGCTGGGCTGGGGGCTGTCTGCCTCTCCCCCAGCACTCACTCTCACCTGTGCCTGCAGAGACCTGGCCAAGGGAGGCACTGTGGAATATACCAACGACAAACACACGATGGACCTCACCCCCAACAGCACGGAGCGGAGACAGCTAGCCAGCCTGCTGGAGGGAACCACAAACCAGGCTGTGTAAGTGGCAGCCCCTGCACCCGCTCCAGGGAGGGGAGAGGGCACCACCCCAACTCCATCACTCTGACTTTGTAGGGTCATCCCGAACCTCTTCCCCAAATACATCCGTGCCCCCAACGGTCCTGAGGCCAACCCAGTCAAGCAGCTACAACCAGGTGAGTGCAGCAGGCAGTCAGTGGGGTGGGGAAAAGAGAAGGGCCAGGGTGGTTGTTTCCCTTCTCGTGACTGGCCAAGAGTCTGCACAGGGCATCCCGATGGGCCCATCTCTGAGTCCGTGGACAGTGCCAAGACACCCACCGTGTTCTGGGGCGGAGGGAAGAAGGCGCGCATACCCCGGCTCCCAAAGCCCAGGGGTCTGCATAAAGCATCCCTCAAGCTTCTGTATCTATTCTCCAGAAGAGGAAAAAGACTACTTGGGGGTGAACCTGTCCCTGCAACGGAATGGGGTGAAAGACCGTTCCCTCGAGTGGTGGGTGATCACCATCCAAGACTGTCAGCCAGACTGCAATATCCTGCCCATGGTCATATTCAGCGACAAGGTCAGCCCCCCTAGCCTGGGCTTCCTGGCCGGATACGGGTGAGTGCTGCAGCGTCCGAGGGTCTGTGTGGGAAGGGGTGGGCGAGGGCACCGTCCTGGGACTCCCCTCTCCTCTGAAGCTCGAGAGACAGGAGGTGGGCTACTCTGTCAGGCCCCCCCCCCAGTTAAGGAGCAGACCCCAAACCTCTAGGTCCCCACCTTCTCTCCTCCCAGCCCACTCTGGCCTCTACCCTGGCCCCCCTGCTGGGTGGTTGCTAGAGCACCCTGCCAGGCCCTGACTGCGTTCCCCCTCCGGCAGAATCATGGGGCTGTACGTATCCATCGTGCTGGTGATTGGCAAGTTTGTTCGCGGTTTCTTCAGTGAGATCTCGCACTCCATCATGTTCGAGGAGCTGCCTTGTGTAGACCGCATCCTGAAGCTCTGCCAGGACATCTTCCTGGTGCGGGAGACCCGGGAGCTGGAGCTGGAGGAAGAGCTGTATGCCAAACTCATCTTCCTCTATCGCTCCCCGGAGACCATGATCAAGTGGACCCGGGAAAAGGACTAGGAACCACGTGAGTCTTCTCCCCATCGAGAGGCGCCCGGCCCAGGAGGCACCCTGCCTCCCGGAGGGCTGCTGCTAGCCTGCCCCAGCCTCCCCACCAAGCCTCAGGAGCACACAGCGGGTGCTGATACCGCCTAGCCACAAGGCTGCAACCTGCACCTGAGGATGTTCCCCAGACCACGGCCACCAAAGTCTACCGACTTTTGGACCGGAGGCACGGCCGCCTCGCCCTGGGGGACGAGGGCTCTCCTCCTGGTCTGCCCACATCTAGCCTTGGCGCCCGCCAGCTCCCACATGGCCTGGCCTCCAGCGTGAGGGTAGAGCCATGAGTCTGACCGAAGGAGCCAGCCACGCCAGGGGGGAGGGACCTGGGTCTCCCAGATGTACTGTAGAGTTTTCTAATGAAAAATGATTTATTTATACAGACGGACAATTAAATGGCAAGTTGTGGCCTCACCTCTCCTAGCTTGTCTCCTTCACTCTCTTACCTCACATCCCGCCCCCCATCCTGACTAGTTGAAATGACCATTTTTTGTGGGAAAAAAAAAATGAGCACTGATGGAGCTCCAGGAGGTGATGGGTACGTTTCAGGGTAGATGCCAGTGGTCCTCGCCCCTCAGCTTCAGAGAAGCCAGACCAACACTCAGCTGCTGAGATGAGAAATGGCGGCCCGGGGCAGCAGGAGGCCCTGTCGGATTGTACGTGTGGCCTTCCACGTGGGGAGGTGGAGGCAGCCGTCAGGAAGGGTCCGGGTGGGACCCTTCAAAACTGGGGCGAGAAGAGCTGCAGGCGTAGGCCTCTGGCCTCCCAGTTTTCCCAGAGTTCCACAGTGGAGGCCTGGCCACTAGTCCCCAACAACTGGCACTGAGGATGGGGGCTGAGAAGGTCCATTCAGTTCTCAGTCCTGGTAGATCTCATCTTTATCTTCCTCACTTTCCTCAAACAAGAATTCTTGGATCTCCTGCTTCTCCCAGGCCCTGAGGAAAAACCATGAACGTTAGGGACCCTTCCTCCCCAGCGCCTTTCCTTTCAGGGACCTAACCAAGTTGTGCCCAGCTTTCTAGAGACACCAGGATTCTCACAACACTAATGATAATAGTCCCATTCCCTGAGAACTGCTCCAGCCCCGAGCTTATAGGCCAAAAGCCAGAGTGCCCCATGAGGGTCTGCCTGGGGTAAAGGTCCCCAGGCTGCCTTCACAAAAGGGCCAGGCCTAGGCTGGGTCCTGCGAGGAGCTGAAGTCCCCTGCAGCCACAAGATTTACTGCCCCAGTAAGAACAGAAGAACAGAAACAGAAATCCAAAGCCACGAAGGGTCTGATTTGCTCTCCCTCTCTTTATCCCAAGGCACGGAGCTACCATTGACACCTATGGGGCCCAACCCTACCCCAGCCTCACAAACACTACCTGGCCCTTCAAGCAATTGGGCAGCCTCCCCCCAGCCCTGGCCCCGAAGGGCCGTGCTGTGCCCACCTCCCGTCTGGCAGCCCCCACCCCCTGGCCCTGTGCTGCGCCCGCCTCCCCTCTGGCAGCCCCCACCCCCTGGCCCTGTGCTGCGTCCGCCTCCCCTCTGGCAGCCCCCACCCCCCTGGCCCTGAAGGACTGTGCTGTGCCCGTATCACCTCTGCCTCCGGCACTGGGACTCCATCAGGATGTAGGGAGGAAGGGGCTCCAGGAAGGGCTGTAAGGAAGGTCCCCCCCACCCCCAGGTATTAGTAGCACCATGACCATTTCTCCCTCTTCTACCCTGAGGATCTGCCCCATTCTCCCGGTGGGTCTCCCCTCTCCACCAGAACCACAGACTGGCACCTGCTACTCACCACGTCTTTCATGTTCACACGGCAGCTGTAGCAAAGCTGCTCAATGAAGCTGGCTCTGGGCTCCTCCCTAGAAGGTGGAGGAAAAGTCAGCCCGCTCACCTCGGGGAAGAGCAGGCCCAAATAGGCAAGGAAGCTCCCAACCCCCTCCCCACTGGCCCCACGGTAGCCCGTGGGTCTGGCTGGCCTGGACAGTGCCACGGTCACACCACGGGCCAGCTCTCACCTCTCGGACAACGGCCGTGTGTCTCGGCAACAGTCCTGCTGCAGCCTGGTCCCTTGAGCGCAGCAAGGCCTCCCGGAAGCCCCTGTGGGCGGCGCAGGGGCAGGCGAAGGTTTCTGGGCCAGATGCTCCAAGGTCTGGGCTCCAAACGCAGTAGCACTGTCTGCAAAGCACAGACCAGGATTCCTGGGGGCTGGCTGGCTCCCGAGGATGGCCAGGAATCCAGGTTAGGTTAGATCACGGAGAAGGTCAACTTAAACGCAGATTCAGGGTCATCAGCTCCAGGGAGAACACTCTACTCGCAACCAAAGGAGGGAGGAAAAGGGCACAAACCTGCGCTGTCAATGTCCAAAGCACACATGCAGAGGAGGCAGCGGGCGGTCGCAGCACCGGCCGCATCCCCATTTCGGGGAGCCTTTACCAGCTTCTCGCTCGTCCTAGGACCACGGGGAGGGGAGGAGGAGAAGAGAGGCCAGTCAGGCCCGGAGTGCCCGGGCTCACCACTGGTGAACGCCCCTGCCCCCGGCTCAAGGAGGCAGAAGCCCCTCAGGAGAACAGCCAGTGCCATGAACAGCGAAGAGGCACAACGCTCACGTCCTTTCAGGGCTGCACGGTCCCCTCCCACAGCGCTCTGTGCCCCGGCCCGCCCCCAGACCAGCCAACTCCACGCCCTTGGCCCATAGCCGGCCTGGCATCCTGCCCTGTAGCCCCACGTCAGACCTGTACACAGTGCTGATGGTGGAAGGGAACTGGGCCTGTAATCTGAGGATGAAGCTCTCCATTAGCCGGTGGATACTTGCCTTTTCTGGGGCCTGGGGAGGCAAGCACAAGTGGGGCTGGGGCCGGGGCCCACCACGGGAGGGGAGGCAAGCACAGCAGGGCCGGGGCCGGGGCCCACCACGGGAGGGGAGGCAAGCACAGCGGGGCCGGGGCCGGGGCCCACCATGGGAGAGGAGGCAAGCACAGTGGGGCCGGGGCCCACCATGGGAGGGGAGGCAAGCACAGCGGGGCTGGGGCCAGGGCCCCCCACGGGAGGGGAGGCAAGCACAGTGGGGCCAGGGCCCACCACGGGAGGGGAGGCAAGCACAGAGGGGCCGGGGCCAGGGCCCACCACGGGAGGGGAGGCAAGCACAGCGGGGCTGGGGCCGGGGCCCACCACGGGAGGGGAGGCAAGCACAGTGGGGCTGGGGCTGGGCCCGCCATGGGAGGGAAGTCTGACTTCTCTAAAAGCAGACCTTGACCCCCTCCTAAGAGGGCACAAGGATCTGACAACGAGCTAGGAGGGCGGAACTAACTTTTTTGCACCGCTGCTCTTCTCCCCAACTCCCTGCAAACCTGCCTTTGGGGCCCTGGCCCCACAGTGGGGTCTCTCCCACCATCCAAGGGGATCTGAAGGGAACTCTGGGAAGACTGGGGGTTCGCAGCACTCACAGAACCTCCCCAGCATGAAGAAGGCCAGGGGACGCAAAGCTCTATACATGCACATTTGTGTGCGTGTGTGTGTATGTACGTGTGCATGTGTGGGTGTGTGCGTGTGTGTACATATGTGCACATGCACTCACAAGCACTCATGGCCTTCACCTCTGCAAGTGAGAGCCATAAGGACGGTCTCCTCTTTTGGATACTGAGAAGACCCAGGAAAGAAAGGCCCTCGGAGGCCCCCTGGTCTAACCCCCTCCTCTTAAAGGGGACAACAAGGAGGCCACAGGGCTGGCAAGGGGCTGAGGGAGGATCCAGCCCTCCACGGGCTGCACTAGGCCACCTCTCATCACAAAGCTAAGGGCTTCCTGCCACTGCAGGGCCCTCACTCCAAGCCTTTCCCTACCTTGGTGTCAATGGCTGGGGTGAAGACAGAGGGAACTCCAAACATCCTGTTGTAAAAAGCAATCTCCTTCAACGTGTAGTCTCGCATGGGACGAAGCATGACCACATCCCCATGCCGGTCATCCGAGAAGCCCTGCAGGCAGAGTGACAGAGAGGGCGTGTGCCCACACTTACCCACCCACACACAAGTTAGGACAATGGTGAAGAAGTCAAGCTGTTAGTGGAGCTAATTCCCTCAGTGGTAACTGGCTAGGGCCGCTGGCTCAGGGGTCCCAAAGGCTTTGCCTCTTGCATAGGACAATGACATGGTACAGGTGCTCCCAGTGAAGCTGGCCTCCCAGTAAAATCACTGTTATTTTGATAAACTGGCACTGGCTATGGAAAATAGGCACCTCCCCCAAGTAGGCAACAATTCATTTACCTGGGCAAGAAAAAGCACTTCCACAGTCACTTGCTGGGGGCAGATGTCAAGCACCTGAGTCGCCCATTTCTCTCTCCCTCTCCCTCCCTCCAGGCCCTGAGGAGCTTGGGCTACAAGGAGCTGACAGTGACTTAGGAGCATCAGTGGGCTTCTCCACTGGGGCCTCGACCTTCCTCAGCATCGCCTCTTCTGATCCCTCGTCCCCCACCCCACAGCCCAAGGGCAGCAGCCTCTAAGTGTCATTCTAAGCCTGGTGTAAGACTCTCCCAGCTCGCCCCTGTACCAATGGCCAATTCAGCCCCGCTCTGGTCTACACAAATCACCACTGGACCTTTCAAAGACATCAGAAAGAAATGTCTCCAATGGGACCCACTCTCTTCCCAGGGGATCACAATGAAGTTAGGGGAATAATTCAGTTTCTGATGGTCATGTAAAGGAGGGAAATGGCCTTGCTAAAACAAATTCAGCAATCTAGGATCTAATTAATAATAATAGCTAACATTTATATAGCGCCTACGATGTGCCAGGCACTGAACTAAGTGCTTTACAATTATCTCATTGGATCCTCACAATAACCTTGGTTGGTAGAGGTTATTATTACCCCATTTTACAGGTGAGGAAAATGAGGCAGGCAGTTACTGCTCACTGTTGTAAGGGTGGTTTTTTTTCAACTCTAATTGACCTGGAGCAGGGGCTCTTAACCTGGGGTCCATGAACTTGTTTTAAAAAATATTTTGATAACTACATTACAATATAACTGTTTCCTCTATAATCCTCTGTTTTTTGTTGGATGCCTTTAAAAACCTTACTCTGTCCCTAACCAGCTGGAGAATTCTGGCCCTACAGGTTATTTCTGAGTCTCATGAACTTCCCAGGACCTACTCCACGTGGCTCTGGGTCCTTCTAGGAAGAATAGCCTCAGTGACCTCACCGGCCTGGCCTAAATGAAAAGCAGCCAGAGGAAGCACACGCATTGTTTCCTTCTGGCCAGGGGTTTCAAACTTTTTGGATTACGGGTCACTTTCGTGGGGCAAAAGACCACAGAGATAACCTATCCTGCCTACATGGGGTAAAAATGGAGGGCGTGAAGTTAGGTGAGGTTAAGAGAGGATGGGCTCTCTGACCTGTTCTGCTCTTGCCTGGTGAAACCCTGGCATTCAGAGATGCAGCAGGAGAGGGGAGGGATGGGGAGGGAGAGGGTGGAGGGGAGGGGTGGGGGGGGAGGGGAGGGGTGGGGGGGAGGGTCTAGGAGCTATTAGACCAGAGGACCCTGGGAATGGGGAAGACTGGCTGCTTCTTAATGCTCTCAAAGCACAGCCTGGGAGCTGGACAAAGGAAGGGGAAGCAGCTCCCACAGCATGCCCCCTCCTGCTCTGTCTGCTGACTAGGAGCCTCGCCTGGGACACCAGCAGGACCACATGCAGCACAGACTTCCACTCAGGTAGAATGTCCCGTGACGCTCCCACTACAAAAAAGCCTTTCAAATCCCCTGAGTGTCCCCTCGAACACACCCACCCTTTGCCAGTGCTTACTGTGTCCCAGGCAAGGAAAGCCCCTCTCCCCAGGGCCAGATTGGTCATGAGTTTGATGGCCAGGCGGGTACAGCTGTCGCCCAGCATCACTTTGGAATAGCCTTGCACGCGAGCTACATGCAGGATCAAGTGGGCCCTACAAAACAAAGAGGGCCCAGGAGGGGCCGGGCCCAGTGAGCAGCTGAGTAAGCCACTGCTCTGGAAATCGCCCCCCACTCCAGGAGAGAGCCAGGCTCACCTCAGGGTCTGCAGAAGCTCCTCTCTGGCAGTCAGTGTCTTCACCGAGCTGAAGAGAGTCATTAAAGCCATGATTTGTGCTGGTCTGGGGAGGCTGTCACCAGTGACTTCCTCTTGTCCCACAGGGTCCTGGGTGCTAAGCTGTCTCAGCTTTTCCTGGATCTGCTCATCACTCAGGACAGCTTCTCTGCCCCCTTCCTCTGGCACTCTCTGCTGCTGCTGCTGCTGCTGGATAAAGCCATCCACGGCTTCCTTGTAGGTATTCTCAGACCCTCTGGGGCCCTGGGAAACAGGCTGTAAGACTGACGTGGGTAAGTTAAAAACCTGCAGGGACATTGGGAACAAGAGGTCACAGTAAAGATCCTTGATTTGACACAATTAGCCACGTAAAGGAGGGCAGTGGAGCTATGGTGCTCCCTACCCCATCTGCGGACGGAGGACGTTTCAGAAGATGCCTACTCTATACATCACCTGGCAACATCCCCACTGCAGACACATAATCCCGACGTGAACAACTCTAGAGCTCAGAAGATTCACCTCAAATTTCAAATGCTTACACTAAGCATCACAAATCAATACCATGGTGCAGCTGGTTTGCCAGCTCCCCGTGGGCACAAAGAAATCCCTTTAACTGGGACAATGTTTTGGGCCAGACCCAAAGTCCCTCCAGGTTCACTGGCCACAGGGGTAACCTTCCTACCTCTTCTAACGAGACTATGTGATATGGGAAGCCAACTGTCTGCAGGATCAGCTTCATTTCGGTCACGGTCTTTGCTCTCTCCTCTGGGCTCTGCCCACAAACTACTCCCTCTAGGAAAAAAAGAAAGGAAAGAGCCACAGGTTTCTGGTTGGAGAAGTCAGAGGAGAAGCTCCCAGTAAGGACCACCTCTCCCCCAGGCCTATCCAAAGTGAGGCATGTGAGTCAGAAATCCACCCCTGGAACCAAAAAGGCCCAGAGAGCCCCAGGGGGCCACATCGCTACCACTGGTTGAGCAAAAAATACAAGAAAAACACTTTAGGGTTAAAATGCTACAAGCTAAATTGAACAAAGGATCTGACCTACTGTAGATAAACTTAGCAAATTTAGCAAAGACTGCTGTTTATAAGAGCACGAGTCTCGGACTACATGGCTAAAAACGTCCTTCAGAAGGCCGAAGGCTCCCACTGAAGCCTAGGGATTCCTCCATCTTCCATATAACTAAAGAGGTGACCCCTGGAAAACTCCTAGAAAGCCGTCCGTCTCACTAAAAAAGAATAAAAAGCTCTATTAATGGAGCCTCTGCAGGGCAGCAAGTGGGGCCCTCAGGCATCAGCAAAGCCATTGGCTGGTCCACGGACACCATACATCTAATAATACTGCCTCTCATCTGCACAGCGGCATACGCTTGTCAAAGGCTCGTTTGGTACTCCCAGCACTCCTGTAAGGAAGATAGAGCGAGGATTCCTACCCTGGTTTTACCAGAGAAGAAATGGAATCAGCAGAGCGAAGTCATCTGCCCAAAGCCACACGGCTAGTTATACCATTTAAAAATTCATGCTGACCAACACTCAATATCGCCTTAATCTAGACAGACTAATTCTCTAATGCTTTTTTGGACAAGTACAACTTCCAAGCTATTCTTGATGGCTTCTCTCTGAAATACGCACACCAGGGTTTGGCTGCAGGAGATGTCCCAGGTACACGGGTTTTACACAACATACCATCGATGTAGACGATGCCTGGCACAAAGCGGAGCCTCTTTGCAGACTCTCGGCTCAACCCCTAAAAAAAAATACAAGACACTTAACCAAGATATCAAACAGTGAACTTAAATACACGGCCCTTCTTGGAACAAAAGGATGTGTTTTCGCCAAAGACAGATGACTAAACCACTACTTTTTCTTCTAACGTCTGCCATAAAGAAACAATAACCTAAGATGAAAGCCAACTCAGCCAGTGGGAAGCTTTTTTAAAATCCTTACGGGTCAGACTGATGGAGGCAGGCTCTCCAGCCTCACCTTCCACAGAAGGCCTACCCTCAGTCAGTCACTTCCTTTGGACTACTCTAAGAAAGCCCTTTCTACTCTCTGTATAAAGACACCTGAACACCACAACTCAGCCCTCAGCCCTCAGCCCAAGCAGTATCCGGACCTGGTAAAATGTAGCCCAAGGGATATGCCCAATGGTCAGGTGACCGGCGTTACTGCCTGTCCATGATTACACCCTGTCACTTACAGTTCCTACCAAGTGAAACTTTAAGACCATTCTTCCGTGTCTGTCACTGTCACAGCCACCTAAGTAAAGCCTAATGCAGGAGAGGCCGATCATAGGGAGAAGGACCTAGGGCTGACAGGGCAGAAGTAACCCCAGAAGTGGGTTATGTATACTTAGGTATGTATACTATTAGACTATATAAAAGATTAGCCTAAAATATATATATAAAAGATTAGCTCTCTGATAAGAAAATAATTTTGATGAAAAAAAAATCAATAAAAGAATCATATTTAAACCATGTATTTATTGTGAAAAATCAAATGGTTGAGAGTGTAGGAGTCCATGACTGTGGTCAGAAGTTACTTCAATCAAGGGATTAAGACCAAGAAGCTCCAGGACCTATGTTCATGTTTAGCAAATTTGCAAATTGAGGTGAAAAAAAACAAACAAAACAAACACCAAAAAACAAACCAGTGAGACTTGATAGCGAATTCCAGGCTTGTTTCTTTGCCTCTGAAGAATTCAAGTGTGAGCTCCACTTGGGTTTTGTCCAAACATCAGGGAAAGCAGGCAGGACAACTGGAATCCTGCCAGCTGTGGGGCCTCAGGTAACTCTCAGTTACAGAAAGTGTTTGGATCTGGGTCAGAGGAGTGAGCTCCACAATCACCGGTCAACATAAGTCAGGGAGGACCAGACACCAGGCCCCACCAACATAACCTTCAGTAAAATCATGGAAGGACAAGAGATTCCTTCCAAGTCCCCTCAATTTCATCCTTAGAGGAAAGTGGCGAGGATATGAAATTAAAGCACTGTGAAAATACCTCTTGGACTTGCCAGATCATTGAGCTGGATGAGGGACCACCCGACCATGCAAGAAGGACCTGAAAAAGGAATGTAGAAACATCAGATTTTAAATATTAACTTATCCATCTGCCATCTCTCTTCTACCCGTCTGAGATTAACAGAAAGCTTAGCTCCTTCCCATCAAAATCAGAGCAATGAGCCAGAAATGAAACATTAAGGGACCCAGCTTCATTTAGCCTAGAAACCAAGGAATCTTCTTTGTGTACCTGTAGATCTCTTCTCTCCTCAGCACACACAAATATCAAACATATAACGGAAGTGTTTTACAATGTTAGTGTCAGAGAAAAGGACCAATATCTATCTTAAAGGGTTTTACCAGATAACAGTCATGTTTCAAAGAGTGCAATTGAATAGATTACCTACCCAAGAAATACTGGGCTTCCTTACACGAGAGTGAGTTTTGTAATCTGTCACAGACCATCCTGCTCTCCCCCTCCCACATCTAGGACACCAAGGAGTTGGTGAATTCATACCCACATGCATGCAAAGTACCTTCTCTCCTGGGAAGATGAGTCGATTCTTTCCTAGCATTGCTCGGAACTTGTGAATATAATATGCCTTGAAACAGTCTCTAGAAAACAAAATATTAATGAGTGCCACACAAACTGAAGCAAACCTGTTTACTCTAGTGCACAAGGCTGATGCTGAACCAACTATGCACCATGCAGAGTTTCATGGTGGGCCTCTTCAGTCTGGACTGTTCATTTCACAAAGTTCCATCTTTCACAGTCAGATAGTCCTATTTTCATAAAGCTTTAAGCCTAAAGGGCTGAGGTCATAGAAAGTGGATGTGCCCAGAAGAGAAGTTTGTCTTTAAGATGGTGAAGTCTAGGCTATCCCTAGACTTGAATCCCCTGGGACTGTCACTCTTCAGAGGAGCAGATCCCTAACTATGTTCTAAGGTTTGAATTGGAGTCTCTCCCCCTTCAGCACAAAGTCCCAATGGCTTCCCAGCTTCCTTCAGTCACAGCCAAAATCCCACCTTCCACAGGAAGCTTTTCCTAGTCCTTTTTAATTCTGTTGATTATTTCCATTTAGCCTGTCTATAGTTTGTTTGCACATGATTATTTGTACTAGACTGTGAGCTCCTTGAGGTCAGGGACTGTCTTTTACCTTTTTTTGTAATCCCAGAGCTTACTGCAGTGCCTGGCACTGACAAATGTTTATTGAACGACAAATCAAGACTCCATTTTCCCAACAGAGAAAAAACCCCCACAAAGTAGTGTAGAGATTCCATGGGAAGAAATTCCATTTCTACATGGTGCCTAAGTAAAAACAAGGTACCCTTAACAAGGTATGGTAGGTGAGTTCTACGCATTGACACTATTATTGGGCTGGGTCCAATTTAAACACACTGAGAAGAGATTATCTTTCTGGAAATTGAGTCAGACTGCTTTAGAGCTCTCTTCCCTTCTCTTCAACATATATTCAGATGAACAAGTATGTAAGACTAGGGATTATTTCCCAAAAGATAAATGATCAAAAAGACATACGAGTTTTCAAGAGATTTGTAAACTAATAGCAACCATAAGAAAGACTGTTCCAAATACTAATAAAAAAGAGAAAGGCAAATCGAAACAACTCTGGATTTCACTTCACCACACACAGCAAATTGGCAAAATGATAAAAGATGTATGGAAATAGTGAATGTTGGAGAGGTTGTGAGAAGCCAGGCCCACTGATATACTACTGGTGGGCTGTGAACTGGTGTAGTCATTCTGGAAAGCGATTTGGAACTATGTCACCCAAAACGACTAAAATGGCCACTCTGACCCAGAGATCCCCCTGCTAAGCAAAGAGGGCAAAGGAGAAAAGTCCCACATGTACCAAAATATTCATAGCAGCAAATTTAGTGGTTGTAAAGAAATAAAATCGGAAATAAAGTTGGGGTCAACTGGCTAGGACTAAACTGCAGAGCAAAATGTGAAGGACTACAGTTGATTATTGCACTGAGAAATGTCAAACACCAAGAGTTCTGAGATACATAAGCAGAATGATATGAACAGATTCACAGGGAGGCAAGAAGAACCAGATGCACTATAACAGTTGTGATAAATCTCAGACACAAAAAATATGATAAAAAGTATCTCCCTTCCTTCACTGTGGAGAGAGTACTGTAAAATATTATCAGACAAGCTTGATGTGCTGGTTAGTTTTACTGAACTGCCTTTTTCTCTTTCTTTAATAATCTTTGTAAGGAAGGATGGCTCTATGGGTGTCAGAAGGTGGTGGAAAAACAAAGCCATCAATACAATTTTAAAAAGAGAAACATCTATTTGAATGTGTTCCACGACAGTCTTCTGTCTCAAGCTAGGCTTATAGGTAGGAAATTACCAAATTTCATTGGTAGAAAACTACCCAGTTGCCTTATCGTAAAGTCACATGAGCTCCATATCTTGCCACCTTGGTGCAGGGGATGGCTCCATTTTCAATCTTTTAGCTGATTAGGGTCAAGACACTAATCTCTCTGAGCTGTAACCATCATCTGTAAAATGCGGATAACCATCTTTGGGCCATCTACCTCGAAGGGTTGTCATACAGAAAGCACCATAAAAATGTGAGTACTGATGGGTCTGTGATTTCATCAACTAAGGAGTTGCCTCCAGTGATGCAGATGGAGCACAGTCCTCATGCTTGCCCAATCCTCTGGGACTCGGGTTCATGTTCCCCTCAAAGTTCACCACCAGGGGGCCACCAGATGCAAAGAAGGCCTTCCTCCCCGCCTTAGGCCACCACTAGGATACTAGTGGCTTATGCTGATTGTCTTCCAGTCATCGTCATCCCTACATCTTGCCACATGACTATACAATTCTTTGGATTTCTTTACCCCTAGAGTAAAGGACTTCCTTGGGAAGGAAGAACTTCCAATACCTCTTCCTTGGACTTCCTCACCAGTTACATATTGTAATATTCCCAAACTACCATGAGCCAATCCACTGACCAATGTGGGATATTCATGTTCGTTCTTCCAAGTCAGTGGTGCTCCTCACACAGTGGTTGGCACAGAGTAGACACTGAATAAATGATTGCTGATTGATTAATTACATACGGCAACACGAGTAAAATGTTAGAATTGAAAAGATGGGTCTTTGTTTTTCGTGGGAAGCTTGGAGTCAGCGGAAGCATTTGTTTTTATTATTATAGGTTAATTCTCTACATTGACTTATATTCATCACCAGTTTCAGATAATTTAATTAATGATTATTTTTATGTTCCACTTAATGATTAATTATTAATTGGTCTCTAAGGTCCCTAAATGTTCTAAAATTCTATAAGTTTTAAGATGTTTAGTGAAGAAATATATCTCATTGTCCAGATTTACTGTCCATCTCTAATACAGCTGGGGACTGGAAAAAGGATTTTTTTTTAAACTATGTCAACTTAGTTGCACTCATCTTTTTATGGGTTGTTCTAGCAAGCAAAGAGCACGATTTCTGCATTCCAGCTTCAAAAACCTGACTCATCAGAGAGAGTTCCAGACCTAAAAATAATTTCTAATGCCCATGCATAACCCTATGAACATGCCTTTCACCTCAACAATTCCTCTGCCGCCAGGGAGGCTTTCAGAAAAATTGGCACAGCTCTCACAGAATGGATATGATCCTTTGACACAAATACTTCCCCTGGGACACTGTCCACCTACAGATCATTGACCAGCTCCAAGACCTCTGGCCCAATGTTTCTCAAAAACCAGGTTGCAAATTTTTCCTGATCCACAAAAGTTTACCTACAAAAAACCTTTATTTTTAAAAAATTTTAAAAACTTAAAACCTGACTCCTCTCCATATTCTGTTGTTGAGGTTTAGATATTAGCAGTGTTGGGACCCCAAAATCACGACACGCGGGTCCTGCCTGAACGAATTCGGCCCAACCCTTCCTTTAGCCAAAGACAAGGTTTATTAGAACATCCTATATTGGCCAGACTCTTAAGGAATCTGAACGTTAGTGAGCTATTAGCTAGATTTATAAGAATCTCAGCATTTGGCTAGATTTTAAGAATCTGAGCACTTTAAAGGAGACAAAATGAATCTTATATACAGAAAGACTATGGGAGGGATCCAGGAATGGCCAAGTAGTCTGGGGGGGCCTGGAGGAGGGGTCTAAGGAGGATCTGGACGGGAGTGGCCAGTAAGCTGGGGTGAACAAGGCCAAGGGAGAATAGAGTCTAGATAAGATTAAGAGTGGGAAGTGGCCAGGGGCAATCAGGAGGTAACAGAAAGGAACTGAAAGATTGGGTGTAGCCACAGTGAAAGGCCAATAGAGTGGATTACAGCCTCAGGCAAATGCCAGAGATTTGGAAAAAGTCCAGGGATTTTCTTTTTTTTGGGGTCCAGATCCCAAAGACATGGTCTTTTCCTTTTAGGGGTTCAGATTCCATCCCCATCACTGTTTCTCCCACCTCTGGCTCTGGGTCCAAGCTGAGAGATTGCTGAGCTGAAACTACAGAGGGTGGGTTATTCTTGATTAAGTATCCATTCATTGATTTTGCAGAATGGTTTTTGTTGGGAAGTAACACTGCTGGCTTACCATGGATATTTCAGACCTGCTCCTGTCTGGTTGGTAACAACTTTCTCCTCAGACCTAACGTAGCACTTTGCCCTCCAACTTTCTGACCCACTAATCATGTAATACTATGCACTATGGCTAATGGTGCAGTCATTATATGAAGAAATCCAAGTGATCAACAACCTTATGAAAAATGTTCCAAATCACTAATAATAAAAGAAATGCAAATGAAAACCACTTGGAAGTTCCCTTTACCATTCATTAGACTGGTACAGAGGACAAAAGAAGAAAACAGCATGGCTAGAGGGCTTATAGGAAGGCAGGCTCTGTGGTCCAATGGACAGAAACAGTGAAATGGTATTGTCATCCAGGAAAGCTGCTGGGAAAATCATCTACCCATGCACACCCATGACCTTCTGACATTGCTATCAGGCATGTACCCTACAGGGCCAGAAGACACAGGGCAAAGGCCCATGGGTACAAAAATATAGCAAATAACTGGAACAGAAGAGGGGCCTCTCAACTAGGGACAGCTGAACAAACTGTGGCAGATGAACATAATAGAGTCTTATTCTGACATAAAAAACAATAGGACAGATTCAGAGACACATGGAAAGACTTGTATAAACAGATGCAGAATGAAATAAACAGAACCAGAAGAACTTGTGTGATAATCCTGAGAGTGATATGAGGGGAATCAACTTCACAAGACCTCAGAACTCTGATGAAACCAGCAACCAATCATGGCTCAAAAGACTGATGATGAAATATGAACTGCTAATTCCTTGCAGATAGGTGACAGAGCAGAGGCATAGAATAAGATGTGCATGTGATTTCTTTTGGTTGACTACCCATGTTTCTCACAAGGGAGAGTTTTTACTTAGTGAGGAGAGTGGGAAGTGAGTTAGGGGGTGGTAATACAGACATGAAAAATCAAGAATACTAATAAGACATTTTTAAAAATGCATAGAAGGGGATGCAGAGAAATCCTGTTAACTATGTTGTTAAACCACACACACACACACACACACATACACACACACGAAAACATGTAACCAAAGTTCAGTTTCTCTTATGATCCTTTTTTCTATTCTCCTTTGTATCTTGATACATTCCTGTTTGTCGATGATTAAGTTCACAAGAAAAAATGATAAAATTTCAAAATAAAGAAAAGTGCTAGATTTAGAATCAGAGGACCTAGACCCCAATACTGGCTCTCCTCATTCTGGTCTGTGGGATCTCGGACCTCAGTTTCTTCATCTGTTATACTAGCAGGCAGGCCTAGAGGTTCTCAGAAATCCCCTCTAAAATTGCTCCTAGGATCAGCACAGCGCTCTTTAGGTGCTAATTAAATATCTGTTGAATTAAAAAGTTAATGCTTCTGAATCTTTATCCCAGGACACACTTACTCCCCAATAGGCAGCTCCATCAGGGCTCTCTCCTGAGGTCAGGGCACTGCCATTTTATCACTATCAGGACTCTCCTTCCCTTTTAATACCACCAGCAAGATTTACCTCCAGTCCATCCTCAGGTTACTGAGACTTTGTTCTTATTTAACACAGGAATTAACAAGCAAAAAAAGAAAGAAAAGAAAAGAAAGAAAGAAAGATTCAATGCTCCCACCCTTATGGCTGTATAGTGAACAGGAAAATCAGCAGTAGTGAAAAGGTAGGTATTAATAACTGTCATCTTAGAAGTCAGCTTGCCATCCATAAAAGAAACTTCAGTTCAAAGAAGAGCCTCATGGCAAGCCACCACATACTCACTTGCAGAAAGCATCTCCAGCGCGGATGATTAAGACTGGCAAACCTTCCTTGCACTTCATACATTTCTGTTCACAGCTTAAACAAAGAAAAGGAAAAAGAATACGTTTATGAAGGTGGCCTGACTATGGTTAGAAGTAACCGTGTAGCAGTACCCTATCACTAAAAACCATTTTCTGCGAAGATATGATGAGACTCCAACTCAATCCTGCGGGTTCACAGGGTCATCGGTAGTGGCAAGGAGTGGAAAAAGCATCATCCCTGCAGGCAGGACACTTGGCTTTAACCCAGGCTTAGATGTTCACAGAGACAACGGCAACAGAACTCGCCATTCCTCTGGGAAATGGGAAAAACCTGCCCCACCTATTTCTCACCGAGTTGAAGTAAAGCTTCCAAGTTGCCATAACTATGTTCTGAGGCTCCTTACCATCTCACTATGTTGCTCTCCCTTTCAAGAGTACCTAGGATGGTGGGGTAGAAACACTAATGAGCTGTGTGACCCTGGCTAGGCTATATCCTCTCTGAGCCAATTTCCTCATCTCTAAAATGGAAATAATAAGATCAGAACCAAGAGAATATGCACAGTGACTACAGCACAGAAAAAAATCACTCAAGAAGTTAAAATCTGAGTACTTAAAAAGCCAATGAAGGTCTCAAAGATCTGAAAGCATGCTTCAGCCACTGACTACCAGGCCCAAATCCTGTCTACATAGTCACTGAATTAGAAATGCTTGCATGAATTTTTTTTTTAAATCACAAAAGAGAACTCAATAGGAGTTGGGGGAATTAAAATGGCAAAGAAATAAAGACAGAAGCAGTAATAAAAATAGGGATACTAATATCTATCTGCCTTATAAAATATGTAGTAGAACATGAAGCAATGTTTATAATGGTCCATGAGATATAAAAGTGAGCTATTATTTCTTATTCTTATTAATTCAAGGGCAAGTGTGATTGACAAATTTCATTAAGGAAACATCCAAGGAGCCGGGCTATCAGGTCATTCTTCATCTTTGTCCAGTGTCTTATAAATAGCAGGCACCAGATAAATGTCTCTTGAATTGTTGTAGAAACCCAGAAAACTGGTACCTCTTAACAAGCCTAGAACACCAAAAGGCACAAAACAGAAATATGTGCATAGGCTTGGCTGGGCACTGCAGGCCTCACTAGCCTACCAATCCAGTCCATGAGCTGAAGGTCACCTGACAGGAGCACAGGTGCAGTCCTGGGTGTCAGCATGGAGGAACACACACAGGCGGGGCGTGGGCTATGGCTGAGAATCTGTGCCAGGAAGGAAAGGCTCTTCAGGAGGGTCTAATCCATTGCCTTCATTTTACAGAAAGAAACATGCCCCACAAGGCCAAGAGTTCCTGTTGGTTCCTGTCCCTTCCCTATCAATTCAAGAGATAATTATTTCTTAAGCAGTCATAGAGCAGCGGAAAGAACTTTGGATTTGGAGTGAGAGGACCTCACTCTGCTCCCTAATACCTTTGTGAACCTGGGCAAATCACTTCCTTTCTGTAAGCCTCAGTTTCCTTATCTGCAAAATGAGGAGACTGGACTAGATTCAAAGCAATCCACTTGAACTAGATGTTCTGGAGAGCCTGGTGAAGCCCATGGACCCTTCTCAGAATAAGGTTTTTAAAACATAAAGCATAAAATAAAATACAGAGGATTAAAAAGGAAATCAATTATACTGGAAGAGTTATCAAAAGATTCACAAGTTCACAGATCCCCTGAAACCTACCCACAAGCCCCAGGTTAAGAACCCCTGGCCGAGATGATTTTTTAAGAGTTTGTCTTTTACCCTCTAATTTTTTAATTTCTAAAGGGGTCTGGAATCATCAAATGGAATGGGAATATGAGCTGGAATTCAAACCCAAGTCCTGACTCCAAGTACCCCCATCTTTCTACTTGACTGATACCTTTATGACTTTGGCTGCAGGCATCTCCCATTCACAGTAACTTACGTTACGCAGCACTATTTGAGGTTTGAACACCAATAACCAGACTCCCAGCAAGAGGTTCAGAGGGCTCAGCTAGAAGGGACCTTACGAGTAAATCATTTTAAAGATGAGGAAACTGAGGCACAGGGAGAAGCAGTAACCTTTCCCAGGCACACATACAGTAAATGGCAAAAGTCCAGGAGGTCAATCCCTGGTTCAGTCTCCCTCTGCCTCCAGATGCCAACCCTCATCATCTGGGTGCTTTTTACCTACAGCGAAGCCCTTGAGAGCACTGGGACTTCCCACTCACCAATCTCCATAATTCCCCAATGCTCATCCCACCATAACCAGGGGCAGAGGAGGTCCCATCTGAGCTCTCATCATCACCCACTATTATCCAAGATCCTGAAGTCTGAACTGCCCTCTCCTAATTAGGGCCTCTCAGTTCCCCTTTCTCTGCCTCAGTCCTCCCAGTCCTCTTCTGTGGCCTCACCACCACCCCACCCAAATCTGCTCTCTGAGAGCGTTTTCATGTTCCTCTCTTCAGTCTTGACAGGAAGTGACCAGATCAAGTTTATAGTGATGTGGGGACACAGAATGCCCAAGGATTAAAAATCATATGAAGGGTTACTTTCCCAGCTCCGTAGCCCATCCTGTACCTTGAGATCCTGGAACTTGAGAACTTCTCGAGTTCTTTTCCCCTTATCTTGAAATGCCATACAACTTGTACCAAAAGAATTGCCTTTGGGGCACAATGTATAGAGCACTGGCCTTGGAGTCAGGAGGACCTGAGTTCAAATCCGGCCTCAGACACATAACACTTCCTAGCTGTGTGACTCTGGGCAAGTCACTTAACCCCAACTGCCTCACAAAAAAAAAAAAAAAAAAAAGAATTGCCTTTGTCTCCCTTACCCAGTGTTCCTTATCCTGCCCCTAATCTCCAACCCCCATAAGAAACCCTAAAAATACATCATCTTCTTACAGGCTGTACAGTTTTCTGTCTATATAAGCCCGAATCTTTTCCTATATCTGCGCCCTTTGTTTAGCACCTTGCTAACCTCAGTCCCTTGAAGGTTTCATGCAATAAAGTTCCCAATGGCTACAGAGAAGGTCTAAGTGAATTCTTTCACACCTGAACCAGCTCTCCCAACTCTAAACCTCAACAACAGTGTCCTCTACCTTGGAATCCCTTGGCCCAGACCCTAGGCTCCCCACCTTGGCAAACTCCACTCCTGGATTTCCATTCCCCAGGCCCTTTTTCTGCTATGCTTGGGTTGTTCAACACTTCTGGAGGGATAGGGGCTGGACCTGTGATTTCATCACAAGACAGTCCCTTCTCTGCTACCTGAGGTGAAGTGACTTGCCCAGGGTCACACACTGAGCTCTCTATCCACTTTACCAGCCTGCCTCACTCCACACTGCTGGAGAAAGTCATATAGTAGGGTGGACGGGCTCTCCTGCAAGTCTGCACTCTGCAGTGTCAACGTGGCCGTCACAGTCACAGATGCACTGGGGATCCTCTCGTGCCTCCCCGATGGCTGCCCCCCTCCATCACCCTGCCTTCCGGCACAGCACCGTGCTCCGTGTGCTCTGCTGGAGGCTCCCCTTGCTCTCCCCATCGCTTGGCTACGCGATCCCCCAAACTGTTCTCCCCTCCGAGCGTCATGGCCAAGCTCATAGCAGACATTTAGACTTTCTGTCTCTACTTCCTCAACTGCTGTTTACTTCCCAATGCCGTGCAATCTGGCTTCTCATTGCATTACTCTACTGCTCCTTCCAAGTTTATCCATTAATTAACTGCTAAATCCCATGTCCTTTCCTCAGTTCTCATCTACTTGGCCTCTGGGGCTTTTGACACTCCAAACTCAGTATCTTCCTGGACAAAATAAGCCTCCTTTGGGGTCAGGGGCACCACAGACTTTCTCTTCCTATGGTCTGGCTCCTCAGATCTCCTGGGATGAATCTTCATTTGCCTTCCACCCCACTCTGGGAAGGTGGCCCTGAAAGCTCTACTCTGGTCCTTTCCTTTATGCTTTCTATGCACTATCCCTTGGCAAATCCAAAGAGGTTGCCCTAATCTCTGTCAAACACTAGCCCCATGTAAAATGAAATAAAAAAGCATTTATTAAGTGCTCGTATAAATAGAAAATTGAGACAGTCCGTGCTCTGACAGAGCTCAAATTCTAGCTGCAGGAGACAAAATGGATCTACTGCAGAGTTCAGCTCTACGGAATATATGGCAAGGCCTAAGGGTGCTTGGTATGCAACAGAATGCCTGTTTTGTGGAAGGCTTATCAGGAGGGCTGGTAGAGCCAGCAGACACTTAAGGAAGGCCTGCTGGTTTTCCATCTTACTAGAAGAACCTCATTTGCGGTTCCCTGTTCACTGAAGTGATGGGAAGAGATGAGCTTGCTGCCTCCTAGTCAGGGCCCTGAGAGCGTGAGGATCTCAGCAAGAGTAAGGCCGAGGCAATGGGGCCTGGGCAGCCCTGCTCTCTGGCACTCAGGGGCCATTAACAGTATAGAATTAATAGATTTAGATATACCACTATCTCCATCTGGATGTCCTACTTACATCTCAAAGTCAACTTATACACAGTAAAATTCATTATCTTCACTACCAAGCTCACCTCTCCTCCAATGTCCATATTTCTGTGGAGGCACCATGGTCCTCCAAGCGTTCAGTGGTCAAGTCTTATCAATTCTATCTGCACAATATTTCTCCTCTTCTGCCCAACTCTACCCTTGCATTAAACTCCCCCCACCCCCCTTCTCCATCTCTCAGAATTCTTAGCTTCCGAGGTTCAGCACAAGCACCACCCTTAACAAGGGGCCTTTCTGCATACCTACAGCAGCACCCCAAACAGTGGTTTATTATAAAACATTCTGCATTCCTATGCAAGTGCAAATGGTCTATCCAGACTACATAATAAGGAAGTCCTCAGTCTGCTTTAGTCTTGGGATACATAGGTTTTAGAATCAAAGTCAATCACAAAGCAAGGTACTAGAAGGATAGTTGATAGTTTCTAGGATTTCCAGGTCTTTCCTTCCACCCCACCCCTAGTTGTAAGTACTCTTAATTGCAGGCATATCCTGGAGATACTTCAGAAGTGGTTCCAAATCACCACAATAAAGAGAAAATCTGCAAGAAAGGGAGTCATTTTTTTTGGTTTAATAGCGCAGATAAACGTTACGTTTACACAATACTGTAGTCAATTAAGTGGACCTTACTATTAAGTTTAAAAACCCAATCTACATACCTTAATTTAAAAATACTTTATAGCTAAAAAATGCATCATCTAAGCCTTCAGCAAGTCTTAATCTCTTCGCTGGTAGGTCTTGTCTCAATGTAGCCACGGTGGTGGCTGCAGGAGGTAGAATTGGGGTGGCAGTGGAAATTTTTTAAAATAGGATGACAAAGACCTCTGCCACACTGGCTGATTTTTTCCTTTCACCTGAACACTTAGAAGTCGTTGTAGGGTTGTTTATTGGCCTAATTTCAATACTATTGTATCTCGGAATAGGGAGACCCAAGAAGTGGAGAAAGGGGGGGGGAGGGGATCCTGCTGGTTGGTGGAGCAATCAGAACACACACATTTTATTAGGTTTGTGCATGTGGCACCCCAAAACCATTACAATTGTAAGATCAAAGCTCACTGATCACAGATCACCATAACAGACATAACAATAATGAAAAAGTTTGACATACTGTGAGAATTACTAAAATGTGACACAGATATGTGAGTACATGCTGTTGTTGGAAAAATGGTGCCACAGACTTGCACTATGCAAGGTTGCTACAAACCTTTGATTTGTAAAAAAAAGTCTCAATGAAGTGAGATATGCTATTTTATATATTTTTATATATTTATGTATATTTTATATGCCCCCTATTTTACTTATCACATGACCTCAGTGGCATCCCACATATCCCATCCAGGAATCTCTGAGGACAGGGTCTGTAGGTGCTCAATCACACTGAATAGGCTCAATGTTGCCTTCTACCCAGGGAGTTTCCTGTTTTTACTTTCTCATGGATTAATCATCACTGTAGCAACTTCTAAAATGGAAGGAGTAAGAGTTCAGAGATGGCGAGGCATCCTAGAGATCCACTGGGACCCTCTGAAAGGGAAAGGGACTTGTTAATACAAATAGCTTTAAAAAAACTCTTTTTAAAAGTGTTTGCATTTAGAGAGACCTCTTAACTAAGAAGCTGCAATCCCTCAAGCAACTCTTCCTCCAATGCCTCCAATTAAATTAGTGGGAAAACACTGACAGGAACCCATCTCTTCTCTAGCTCAGTTCTCTCTCCAATAGCCTATGCTATTTATTACCATTTTATTATTTATTACTTTTCACGTGAAAGATTGTGAGTTAGAAGGGAAGTAGCCCACCCAGACCTGGCCCTGGGGGAAAAAGAACCCCAGAGAAGGCAGAGAATCGAAATGACTTTTCTCAAGTTCTGCAGGTACATTCAAACCCATTTCTTTCTCTCTCACAATGGAAAGGGCCCTGGGTTTGGAGTCAGAAGCAGTAAAGCTGGTTCTGGGTAGAGCGGAAAGACTCGGCGGTGTGGTCCCAAGACCTGGGATCAAATTCTGCCCACTCGTGTGACTGACCAGTCACTCGCCCTCCCCGGTGCCGTTTCCCCCTTCAGGGCTGTGTTTTGCCTCTTTCTGCATCCCCAGCGCTCAGCACCACGCTTGGCATACAGCAGGCGCTTAATAAATACTTCCAGCTTGTAAGAGGGGGGTGGGCTGGGGAGAGGGGCTGGGCAGGACGCCCCCGAGGTCCCTCACGCTGAAGGGGCGGGGTCGGTCCCAGGGACCATCCTTCCTCTCCCCCGGCCCCTCCCCGCCCAGCCTCAGGGGCTCAGCCTGGGCGGGGAGCTCTCCACCCGCGTCCGGCCCCGTCTTACCCCCGCCAGGACAGCTTCGGCTGGAGTTCCGCCGGCCCGGGCCCCCCGTAGTCCTCGCCCACCTGACACATGGCACCGCCGGGCCCAAAGGCTCGGGAGGCTCCCGGCAGCCGGCTCGCGGACGGGCGGCGCGCGCCGATGACGTCACCGCGGAGACGGTCGCGGGGTGATGACGTGAGCCGCCCCGTCGCCGTGAGATGACTTAGGACGCGTGGGGCGGGGCGGGCCGGAGCCAGAGACCCGGACCGGGACCGAGACGGGTACCGAGCCCGAGCCCGAGCGGCGGACTGGGAGCGAGCGGGGCCGGCGTGCCGGGGCCGGCGGGCAGGGGCGGGCCGGGCCCCGCTATGGCCATGTTCCGCAGCCTGGTGGCGTCGGCGCAGCAGCGGCAGCACCCCCCGGCCGGAGCCCCTGCCAGCGCCCCGCAGCCCCCGGCCGGGCCCGGCGCCGGCGGCGAGAGCGGCTTGGAGGCCCAGTACAGCTGCCCCATCTGCCTGGAGGTCTACCACCGGCCCGTGGCCATCGGCAGCTGCGGACACACGTGAGGCCCGGGCCGGGCGGGGGCGGCGGGGCCTCAGTTTCCCCATCTGTAAAGCGGGAGGCGGCGGCGAAAAGCCGCCCCCCTGCCGTCCCTTTTCCTCTCGGCGCCGTCGGGAGGAGGACGCTTTGTCCACCCCGGCTTGGGCAGAAAAGCGAGTTGTAGCAGCAGCAGCGCCAGTAGTAGTCGTTGTCTATACTCTGGTCCCTTCTGGGGAGGAGGCGGGGCTCTGCAGGAGAAAGGGGAGGAAGCTAGGGGCGGTTAGCCCCCCTGCTCTGCAGAAGGATGGGTGGCCCTTGCCTGTAACACCCCCCCCCCTTTCCCTGCAGAAGGAGGATTCATGGGGAGGGGGCCGTTGCCTGGCTGTAACATCCCCCCCTTTCCCTACGGAAGGAGGATTCATGGGGAGGGGGCCCTTGTCTGGCTGCAACACCCCCCCCCGCAGGAGGGTTCACTGGGGGTGGTCCTCCTTAGTTTATTTTCCCCAAAGAGCTCAGTTCGTAGAAGTCTTTGCCGGACCAACCCGAGTGGAAGAGCAGGGGTTTGGGGGTGGTTTTCCTCGTGTAGCGGTGGAGGATCCCTGTGGGTGTTATGGGGACGCCCCCTTCCTTCTACCAGCCACGACTTGTGGCTTCCCTGTTTCCGGAGTTCGCTATGTGATCAGGGAGACAGCATGCATACGACGGTGTACAAACAAGATGCAGGCAGGATAAACGGGAGATGATAATGTCCCTGGGAGGATTGATATGCACGTGCCCCGTGCACAGGGAAGAACGCCGGGTTTGGGGGTCAGAGGACCTGCTTTTGCCGCTCATTAGCAGTGTGACCTTGAGCAAGTTTATTTCCCTTTCAGTGCCTCAGTTTGCTTATGTGGAAAATGGAAAAGGTTGGACGAGCTGACCTCCTGGGCTCCTTCCAGGTCTCCGTCTTTGATTCTTAGATAAGGGGTGAGGAGTGTGACGCCTCCTCCCAGCAGCCGCAGCAAGCTACTTCACGCCTAAGGAGGAGAGATAGTGCTTCCTCTGTTGCCTTGCACCAGGCCGGGACAACGTCTTGGGAGGCTTTGAAAACAAAGGAGGCAGCCTGAGTTTTCCCAGCTGTTTGCGGCAGTGGGTGTGTGGCTGCCACTCAGGCGGAGGAAGGCGGCTGCAGTGGGGACAGTGCTCCCGAGCCTCCGGCTTCCCTCCTCATAGCCTTTGGAGGGGGCTGCCAAGGTGCCCTCCCACTTAGATGCTCCGACTTGACCTTCAGTGGTGCGGGGATCATCTTGGCGCACACCCTCAGAAGCAACTGTATTACTTTTAAATATAGTGTTTTCTCCATATGGTACTGCCGAAGTCTAGAAATCCTTGGGGGAAGAACTTTGTTGTAGCTTGTTCTGATCCTATATTTAGAGCGGTCTCATTGTGATTCCATGTGATTTGACTTTGCTTGTTATGAGCTCCCAGTTCTGTTTCTACTTTAAAGAGGTACTATGTGTAGGAAAGTTTTCTTACTGATGAAAGTCGATGAATTTTCAATATCTTCTGCTGCCTCATACAATTTAAGCCATCTTTTGGGGTGGGGGAGAGTAACTCTGGATCCTATAGGATATCAAGCTTGAAACTTCATTTCCATTCATTTCTCCAGAATAGATTTCTTTGGCCACACTGGTTCATAGTCCTATATGAGGTATTGCTGTTTCACCTTTAGCCTCCTTCCCCAGAGCTTTGTAGTTAGTTTGCTTTTTTAGGGACCCATGCCTCTTATTAAGTGCTGTTTTGATTTTTTTTTTTTTTAGTCTCTACAGCACCTTCCTCAAACAAGTGCAAAAGATGTAGAGTCACAAAATCCTTCTATGCTCTCCTTATCTTGAATGGCCCTGCTAGGTCAGTTGCAGCTTCCTTGGGCATTTTATCTGCTACATTCCCACAAATCCCCTGGCTTTTAGTGATCACCTTCCACAAAGTAGATTTCTTTTTTTTTTTTGTTAGGGAATGGTACTGGATTGACCACTCTTAGGGTTAGCTACCCTGAGGCTATGTCTAAATTTCCATTTCTAGCATCCTGTTGGAGACAGCTAAGTGGCTTACTGGTGAGACTACTGAGCTTGGAGTCAGGCCCAGACACTTAGCTGCGTGACCCTGTTTGCTTAATTCACTGGAGAAGGGAATGGCAAACTACTCCAGTATCTCTGCCATGCCCACTAACTGGTTGGTACACACAGATGCCCACAGCTGACAGTCTCACATGGTCTCATCTACATAGTCCTTAGGAAGATCTGAATCTCACTTGTAGAGAGATTGGCCACTAACTCAGAACCAAAGCCCGATATCCAATTTCTAACCCTCAGATTAATCCCATTAATGTTTAGGTTTGGTGGCTAGAGCAGTCAGCTTTTTTAGGGAGGATCAAGTGTTTGGGCTTTATCACTCTCTTCCCATTTCTCCCCACCTTTTGCAGCCTTTTTCTTTGTTCCTTACATTACTCTGGCATCCAAATATCCCCAGTCCCAATTATTAGTAAAAGTAGAGCTATAAGACAATTCAGTGAAAGCACCCATGTTTGGAGGGACCTTTGGGAGTCCAGGTATTTCACAGACTTGCTGGCATCTGGCCCTCCCAACATCAGCAAGCATCCCAGAGGCTCCAAGGAAATTATAGGGAGAGTAAACAGATGTTTGTGTATGTTACTATCCATGACTGAAGAGCTGAAGGAGACATTTGGAGACCTGTAGGTGGCATTAAATTCTGAAGAGATCAAAGAGGGGAGGAGGAAGAGGTGTGGGTTTTACCAGCCCTCTGTACAAGTCACTGCCCTAGGCTGGGCTTGTGTTTTCTAGGTTAGTTAGGGGGCTGGCCCTGTGATCTGGATCTGTGTGTCTAGGCTCCCTGCAGGGCTGCTGGGCACATTCCAGGCCATCTCCACACCGGCACCATCCTCATCACCCTTCTGCCAGGCTTCCAAGGCACCTCCAGGCCAGCTCCACCCATGCCTAGGCTCCTGGGCCCCACACCCCTCTCCTATACATAGTTTGCCCCATTGGATTGTTAGCATCTTGAGGACCAGGACTCTTGATTGCTTCTGATTGTATCTTCAGTACTTAGCACAGTGCCTGGCACATGGTATAAGTACTTAATGAATGCTTTAACTGGCTGTCTTGTCATCAAACATTAACTGAAATAGTTAGAGATCTAGTGACCCTGGCTGGTGTTCATGGCAAAACCCAGACTGTGTCCTCAGCATTTGGCGGGTGCCAGGGGAGGGGGGCATCTTTCCTCTTGGGCAGGATCAGTCCTTTCCAGGATGGGGTCCCTGGCATTGCAGAGTAATGAACCCTCAGGCAGAGTCTTCTCCCAGGTCTCCTTGCTGCCCATCCAGCAAGCCAGGGAGGGAGGCATCACCTAGGGCGGGGGAAGTGAGCTAGCATGCTGTGAAACGAAGGCCCTGATGGCAGATTTGACCCATTTTGGAAGGTCTGTGTGTGGTTAATTGAGATGAGTCATGTGGGCTTGAATATTAACTACCCTCCCCACCCTGGGAAAGGCTCTGAGGTCCGGGCTAGGCTGGGGGCAGCTACACCTACCTGGACAGCCTGAGGCAACAGGAAATATCTTGCCCTCAGGATGTTGCACTCTTTTGGGGTCACCTTTAATCTGGGATAACCCTGCCCATCCCAGAGCAAGCTGTGAGTAGTTTTACAAAAATTCTTATATCTGTTCTGTGAGTTAGGTAGTACAAATATATATTATCAGCCCTATTTACTAATAAGGAAACCGAATCCCTTCCAGGGTAAAGCCCCTTGCCCTTCAGTGCACAGCTCCTAAAGGGCCTAAAGCAGGATTTGAACCTGGGTCTATTCACTCCAGCACTATGTCCATTTGGGCCACATGTTACAATCTTGAGAATATTCCACCTTATTAGTATCTGAGAGAGTGGCCCCTGGTTGTGAAGCCCCCTCCTGGGCCTTCTGCTCATTCTGGCCCAGGGCTTGGTCCCCTCTTGGCCTCTGATCCCTCACTCAAATGATTAATACAGCCCAAAAAGCCGCTTATCACCAGGACCCGGGCAAGTTCTGGCGGGACTTTGTAATATTATAGGCCAGCGTCGCTGCGTAATTGCACGCTCTTGGATCTGAAAACATCAAGGTAACAGTGCCTGAAACCTGGATCAGGAGCCAGGAGACACGAACGCCCACAGCTTGGACGCTTTGTTCTGCTTGCCTACCTCCCCGGGGAATCTGACACCTTGAAATAGCTGTCAGATAGGATGCTTTGAGTCCGCGTGAGGCCGATCTGGCAGCCCTTTTGAGGTCCCTGAGGCCTCTTCCCCCCATCCCTCTGAAATAAGATAATGGAATGGTTTTTTATTCTTAGCCTTGGACAGTTTGAGATAATATTTATAAAGTGCTTAGCACAGTCTCTGGCACCTAGTGAGTGCGATTGTAATTGTTTATTCCTTTCCCCTAATTTATAAATGGCCTGAGCTAAGTTCAGACTTTGACCTCTTTAAGGCCAATTGCATGCTTTTCTTCTTCCTCTAAAATAAATGGCCTTGGCTGTCTGAAAGCTAGGCCTGGCTTCTCTCTCTTTTTTGGATTGAGCCATGGTTCCCCTTATGTTTTGTTCTCCATCGGTGACTGGTTTTGGCTGGCCAGCTCGCTTGGTGAAGGGGGGGAGTGCCTTCCCTTGGTGAAGGTAAGTGGGCCAGCCCTGGGCCCAGCCACTGGAGCTTGGGAAGGGGAATGAGGCTTCTTTGTGGCACTCAGTGGAGGTGGGGGCTGTGTGCCGTGTGCACGCTCCCACGATCACATCTCCCCTGCGGTGCCTCACCTCACCTCCTGAAGTAAGTGACAAATGGTGTCACCCCCAAGCCCACGAGCTCTGCCCTGTGAAAATAACAACTGTTCCTTCTCTGGGTGATGAACATGCTTCTGTAGAGTGGGAAGTAATTGTAAATACCAGCTGGAGGGGTGTATGTGTGAAAAAGCAGGGAGGAGAGAAGAGTGGGGAGAAGTCCATGCAAAAGCCTTCGGAAGCAAGGTCCAGTTGCCTGGCAGTTACCAGCCTCTGGCCCTAGCCCTCTCTTGCCATCTCAGTGACCTAGCAGGAGGCCTCTGCAGCACACAAGCATGCAGGTGCTCTTAGAGCGATTATAGTTGTGCCAAAGAAGGCGCACTGATGGATTAGGCTCCCAAGTCCAAACAGAGGCCCCCTCTCAGCACTGCCTCCTGTTTGGAAAGAACCAGTGGTGCCCGGAACTACAGCTGGTTCTTTGTTTGCCATCTGGATACCAGCTTTTCCTTCTGGGTGGACTGAGAGGAGGCTTCACATCACTACTTCCTCCCCACAGCCCTCAGTAGACCTCATGGCAGAAGAGCCCACCAACTACTTAGACTGTATCTGATCTTAATCTTCTATTATCTGCCTTCTCCCAAGCCTCATGCCCCACTTTCCCTAACTAACCCTATGTTTAGACTCTGAGCTCGGTGCACATTAATGTTGCCTCCTTCCTGCAAGGCCCACAGAACTTGGGGATTTTATCTCCCTCTGGCATTTGCTGAAGTCTTAAAGAGTGAGAAAATGAGGTGATTTGAGGCACTGCAGTCTCGTCTTGTAGACCCTCCATTCTTTCCATCTTCTTTGTGTTTTCAAATTAGAAATCCCTGGAGCTGACTACCTTCTCCTCTGGTGGAGCCTTCCTTGAGGGTGGGGAGGGGTGGGTGGGATCCATTCTAACCCTTGCTCCATGATTAGATATTCCTGGAAATTGTTGAAGAAAAAGCTAGCCTGGATAATCCATATCCTTGGGAAGGAAGGAATATTTGGGGGGAGAAGCAAGGGAGATGGAGAGAGATAGGAGAGGCTGGAGATCTTTCTAGTTGTTTTTCAGGGGGTTTGGTGTTCTTTTTTGTTTGTTTGTTTTTAACTTGATTATGTGGTAACATGAATGGCTTAGGTGGCCCACCACTTTGTTCCCCAGTTTGGACCACACCCCACATGTTGGGAGAACTCTTGTTAGTGCTGGACAGGACTTTACCTATCTAATCTAGTACTCTTATTTCCTAGAGAAAGAAACCAAGATAAAGTGACTTCATGGCCACACAATTAATAATGATAATTGATGTTTATGTAGCATTTTAAGGTTTGCAAAACACTTTCTGTAGCTTGGCCTTAAGGCTGACCTTAGTTAGCAACAGCTTTTTTAAGATGGGTACTACAGGTAAGGTATGATCATCTCCATTTTACTGATGAGGAAACTTGATTCTTAGCAAGGTCACATGGTTGCCTGTGGTCACACAGTAATTGTCAGTGGTGTTTAATCCATCTTCTGACAATCTACCATTTTTTCTACAACTTTGATGTATAGAATTGGTTTTGGAGCTGAGAAGACCAGGTAGGCTGACCTCTAGTAAATGTTGACTGTTTAGAAACGGAGCTGAGAGTAGGCCACTGGCTTCTGAACTCTTCATCTTGGGCTCTTTTTATCCAGTGGATCTGACACTTTTGCCCAGTGGCTATGCTGTTTGGGAATAACTTTTCTATACACCAGGTGAGAACCGTATCTGAAAGATGAAAAGGAAGAAGTTTTCTGGACAGTAGACATTCCAAAGGAGGTCTCCTTTCTCCTAATGGTTGTGGGGCATATGAATACGCTGGATTCTCTTACTTGTTGACTCTGTTCCTATTGAATAAAGATGGTCCCTGGATAGATCCTTGGGGCATCTCATTATCACATTTACCCACCCAAAGTACTGCTCTGGTGCAGACAGCTCTTATGAAGACATTCCTGCAGAGTATTGTGCTTAGCATTAGAGGGGCTCAGAGCTTATTAATGCGGTCAGCTAGGTGGTATAGTGGATAGAGTATTGGTCCTAGAGTTAGACCTGAGTTCAAATCTGGCCTCAGATATTTACTAGTTGTGTGACCCTGGGCAAGTCACTTAACCCTGTTTGCCTTTCTTTCCTCATCTGCAAAATGAGCTAGAGAAGGAAATGGCAAACCATTCTAGTATCTCTGCCAAGAAAACCCCAAAAGAGGGACATGAAGAGTAGGACAAGATTGAAATATCTAAACAACAAAGACTTGCTTATTAACAAGAGCATAATTGATAAATGCATTGGAAAAGTGATTACTGAGTGTGCCGTGTTAGGCATTGGATTAAGCACTGAAGATACAAACAAAGGTAAAAACCAGTCCCTGCCCTCAAGGAGCTCAGTCTCGGGGGCGGGGGGGGGCAAACAAGAAATGTGGGGCACAAGTTAGAAGGCATCTCAGTGCCACAGGCCTGGGAAGGGCAGCCTTTGGCTGAGACTAGAAGGAAGCCGGGGCGGATCAGGGATGAGTCCCAGGAAGGAGATGGTAGGCTGTGTGAGCTAGGAACAGCAAGCAAGGAGAATGGTATCACAGAGGAGGGGGGAGGATGAAGGCATAAGAAGACTGGAAAGGTAGCCAAGGCTTTGAATGCCAAATCAAGAGTTTGTTGACTAGGGGGCTGACGTGGTCAGACCTCAGTTTAAGGAAGATCATTGAGACTGGAGTAGGGAGAGACTGGAAGCAGGCTACTATTGGCAGCAGTCTGGGGGTGTGGCGATGAGACCCTGTCAGGAGAAAGGGGGGCACATGAGAAATGTCATGAAGGCAGGAACAACAGGATTTGGGAACTGTTTGGATATGGGGGAAAGGGGATTGAGGCATCAAAAGTGGCAACCTCCATTGTGAGTCTGGGTGACAAGGGGATGGTGGCAGCCTTCACACTAATAGGGAAGTTAGAAAGAGGGGAAGTCTTAGAGGGAAAGATCATGATGCCATTTGGGATGTGTTGAGCTTAAGGTGAGGTCAAGAGAGAAGTTGGTTAGGGCTGGATAAGTGACCTGAGAATCCTCTGCATAGAGATGTTTATTGAACCCGTGGGGACTGGAAAATAGTAAAAGGGAGAAGAGAAAAGGGCCCAGGACAGTGTTAGGGGACACCCACGATTAGTGGGCATGACCTGGAAGAAGACCCAGTAAAGGACACTGAGCAGGAGTAGTCAGACAGGTAGGAGGGAAGCAGGAGAGAGCAGAGGGTGAGGAGCAGTGTCAGAGGCTTCAGAGCTCAAGAGGAATGAGGGCTGAGGAAAGGCCAATCAATGTGGCGACAAAGAAAGGTCTCGCTGGTAGCTTTGGAGGCAGCAGTTGAATGATGAGGTCAGAAGCCAGACTGCAGAGTTGAGAGTGAGAGGAAAGGAAGGCACCAATTGTGGTTGGCTTTTTTATGGAATTTAGTCACAAAAGGGAGAAAATGTGACTGTTGGGGTTGGATGAACCAAGTAAGGGCTTTTAATAAGAGCTAACATTTAAAGAGTACCTGTGCCAAGTGCTTTTTCAATTTTATCTCAATAGATACTCAGAGCAACCCTGGGAGATAGGTGCTATTATTATCCCCATTTTGCAGGTGAGGAAACTGAAGCAAACAGGTTAAATGGCTTGTCTAGGGTCATGCAGCTAGTAGGTATCTGAAGCCAGATTTGAACTCAGATCTTCCTGACTCCAAGGCTGGTGCTCTGTTTACTTTGAAACCTCTCCTTGTTCCCATGTTTATAGGCATTAGGGAAACAGCCAGTAGACAGGGAGAGGTTGAGGGTTAGGGAGAGTCTGATAGGCAGTATTTAGGTGTTTTAGTGTTAAACTTCTCCTTAGACCAACATTTCTAAGATTTTTTTTTTTGTTCTCAGGATCTAAGAGATAGCTGGATTTTCATATCTGATTTTGTCAATCTGTTGTGATAATATCGTTTTGGTTGAAGTATTAAAAATCCAACCTTGCATCCCTAGGTAGTTGGAAAAGGAAGGACTTTTACTTGTCACACAAGGTCTTATTATTAAAATAGTTTGTCCTTATGGACCCTCTGAAAGGGTCTCAGGACCCCCAGGAGTCCCACACTCTGAACTGTTGACTTAAGCATTCAGATAGGTAGGAGAAGATCCCAAGAGAGTCTTTACACATTTAGGCGGGTAACGTTGTCATACTGCTTTTACAGGTGAACCAGATGAGGCCAAAGGGTAAATGTATTTCCCCAAGATCACACAGTAAGCTTGATAATGAAAGCTAAGACATCCAGAGACATCCCTCTTTGTGCCGTCTGCCCAACAAACAGAAATTAATCTTTTCCAAACATCCAGGATAAACACAGAATGAGCATGGCATTGTGATCAGTGACTAGGGAGGTGAGGGTAGAGGTGTATCAGGAGTCAAAGGAGGCCCGTTGTCCTGTGCTGACAGCTGTTAAGGCCACCCAGGACACTTCGTACAAAGCCTCTTTCCCATGCTTCCAGAAGGGCTCAGGAGTTGTGTTTCTTTATAGATTCTGTGGGGAGTGTTTGCAGCCATGCCTCCAGGTGCCATCTCCACTCTGCCCACTCTGCCGAATGCCCTTTGACCCAAAGAAAGTGGACAAAGCCTCCAATGTGGAAAAGCAGCTGTCATCCTACAAGGCTCCATGCCGGGGCTGCAGCAAGAAGGTAAAGTGTTCAGCTTTTGGGAGTGGTAAAGGATCTCATACACTGCTTAAGAGAATTTGTTTCTGTCTTTGAAGGCATACCTCTCATGATGAGTGGGTGGACTTCCTTTGGTATTGATTTTTGTTTCTCATGAGAAATACTTTTCAGACTCTACCAAGCCCTTTCCCGTCAAGCTACCGAGAGCTGGCGAATCATCTTGAATGGGTTAGCCAGGTAACCATCCAGTCTAGAAAGAAATCAGTCTGTGACAGTTCTTCAGGAGAACTGAGAATGAGGGGAGAGACTCTCATGGAGTCATAGCTGACCTTATGGAGGTAGCGTGTGATTTCATCCCCATGACTTCCTGGGCTGATGAGATTTCAAATTCCATAATCAGCTTAGAGCTAAAAGGGGCCAGAACACCATGGAATGGAAGAGCGTGTATTAAGCACCTGCTGTGTGCCCAGCACTGTGCTAAGAACTGAGGATACTCATAGAAAAGCAAGACAGTCTGTTCTCAAGGAATTCTCATTCTAATTAAGGGAGAGAACAGTTCCAAGGCAAATAGTGAGGGCCGCCATGTTAGCAGCAGGATTGATTGGAAAAAATATTAGGTAGCTCAGTTCCTGACCCAGTCACCTAGGAGCCCTGCTCATAGCCGTTGTTGACTGTTTCCTCTCTCTTCCCTCCCACATCTGCTTAGTTGGCTGTCTTTCTATTAATTTAAAAAAAAAATTGGTTTCTGATTGGTCCCTCTGCTTCTTGGCTCTTCCCTGGCCAGTCTTCCAAACCTCAGTCAGAACTGGCTGAGGCTCAGGACTGAAAGCCGGGTCACCCCCTACACACGAGACCTCAGCTACTCCCTGCAGTCTCTGCTCTAAACTGCACATTCCCTTTGCTCTGCCACTTGAGCCTCTCCACTCTGGTTCCCACTTACCTCCAGACTTGCCTCAATTTCTCACCTGATGGGTGTCGCCCACGGACTTTTCTACCTGTATTCCTTGAACTTGGCCTTCCATCGGCCTCTGCATTTGCATGAACTGTCCCCGACCCTGGAATGCCTTGCTTCTTCTGCTATGCCTCTCTTCCTTCCAGGCTCAGCTCAGGTACCACGTCCACTCTGAAGCCTGCCTTCCTTATGCCCCTCCCCCAACTGGTCGTCCTCTCTGGCTTCTCGGTTTATGTGGGAGCTGCCCCAGAGGAATGTCAGCTCCTTCAGGGCAGCTTCTTTTGTCTGGGTATCCTCAGACTGCCCTTGCCAACTAGGAGGCAGTTGGGGTTAAGTGACTTGCCCAGAGTCACACAGCTAGTGAGTGTTATGTGTCTGAGGTTGGATTTGAACTCAGGTCCTCCTGAATCCAGGGCCGGTGCTCTATCCACTGCGCCACCTCGCTGCCCCTTTTTAATAATTCCAAGTTGGCTTTACCCAAGAACTTACCTTGAACTTGTATCTATTTTGGGCAAACACAACCTCGTCACCTGGTAATGAATGTATCCAGCAGGATCTCATTTCTTTGTCCTGAAATTGCCTCAGTCTCATTTTAAGGGCTTGCTTGTTTGGCCAGTTCTGTGCTTCTCCATCCCGTCCGTGCTCTGCCTTCATCCCTCCAGATGAGATCCAAGCCCTCGATCTTGCTAGCTACTCTTCCCTGCACTTGTCCTCGCTCTATCCCCTCTTTCCTGAGAAGAGGCAGTCACCAGAACTGTGGACAGCTCCAAGTTTCCTGCAGGCTTGTGTTTTTTGGCTGGTACATGAGTGCCACGAATCCTAGCTCAGGGGCAGCTCCTATATACGTGAGATCACCATCTTGTGTTTTCCTCTTGGTGAATGAATGCAGCACACCAGGCCTTCCACCTCAGCCTGCCCTTTGCTCTCTTTTAGGTGACTCTTGCAAAGATGAGGTCACACATTTCTTCCTGCATGAAGGTCCAAGAGCAGATGGCCAACTGTCCCAAGTTTGTCCCAGTAGTGCCAACATCCCAGCCCATTCCCAGGTAAGCAACGCCAGATGGGCATTTCCTTTTCCTTCGTGACATGAATCCCCAGGATCCCTGGGGGAGAAAAGGGTGGGGAGGAAGAGGGAGGTGATAGGATCTGCAGGATTAAATTCCTAACCTGATTTTTAATCTCTTCCTTAAAAACCCTTAACAAGCCTTGAGAGTAGAAAATGTAAAACTGTCTATGATCTTGACTGGGAGCCTTAGTTTGCCCATCTTCATGTGGAGACAATGATACTTGGTCTACATACATCATAGGGTTTTCGTGAAGGGAATCCTTTACACAGCTAAAATGTAATAGTTGTATGAGTTACTCTTTTTTTTTTGTCTAGGCAGTGGGGTGAAGTGACTTGCCCAGGGTCACACAGCTAGTCAATGTCAAGTGTCTGAGGCCAGACTTGAACTCAGGTCCTCCTGGCTCCAGGGCCAGTACTCTATCCACTATGCCATCTAGCTGCCCTCTGTCAGTTATTCTTAATTCTGGGTCCTCTACTGACCAGTGCCTCCAGGGGCCAGGGAGACAGCCACACTGTCACGGGAGATGCTGCTGCCAGTTCAGTAAACATTTAAATTTGGGCTTTGTTAGTAAATATTCAGGCAGGGCAGCCATTTGGGGCTGGTGGGAGTTCCCCTTTCTGAATTCTTAGAACATGGGCTGGACCCGGCCTCCTTCCTGCTGTTTTCTTTCTAAAGGTCTTTGACTGGTTCTCTGATTTGGTCAATCCCTGCCAATCCCCTAATGGATGGATGGTTGAAGAGGACAAGAGGCCTCAGCTGCAGGAGGGGGATGAACATCGCCTGGGGGGGGGGGGGGGGCGTGTGCCCTCCCAGAGGAGGAGGCCCCTCAGAGCCAGGCTGATTCTGGTTGTGACTGTTTTCAGTTTCAGAAAAGAGACGCTTCCCCAACTGACAGGCTGGCCTGGCTTCTGCCCAGTGGTGTCAGCATCGTTAGCTGCCCCTGGAAGCAGAAGGAAGACAATTGGGAGCTTTCTCTGTATCTTCCCAATGAAAGTGTAGGGCCCTGGGAAAGAAGGCAGAGGAGGGTGGAGTAGTTAGGGCCCTGCAGCATTGGTTTCTCTGTCCCAGAGTAAAGAGTAGGCCCTTGTGAATTGGACCCATGTGGCATCATTTATCTTTGAGATGGGCAAGAAACTGAGGAGACTGCAGCACCAAAGACCTGCTCCAAGGTAGTAAGCAACTCATGGGCAATTGGACGGGTGTTGACCAGCCACTGCACACAGTGGAAGCTGCTGAATGTTTTGGACCTCACTTTGTTCATCTGTAAAACAAGGGCGTTGTATGAGAGGATCTCTGAAATCCCTAACTCTCTTCTCCCCACTGCTCAGCAATATCCCAAACAGATCCACCTTTGTGTGTCCGTACTGTGGAGCCCGTAATCTGGACCAGCAGGAGCTGGTGAAGCACTGCATGGAGAATCATCGCAACGACCCCAACCGAGTGGTGAGTGGGCGGGGGGCCGTGCGGGCTTCAGGCCGGGTGGTGCTCCACACATCCTGGTGATGAGGAGCACCGTGTCGAGCACTGGGGTTACAGACAGGCAGGAATGGTGCCTGCCCTCGAATGTCCCAGTATGATGGGGAGGTGACCTGCAGCCGGATAGACGGGGGAGACGGGAGCTGTTCTAAGGGGAGGCCTCTGCACCTTCTGGTGGGAATTAAGCTGAGACTTGCAAGGAGAGGAGCCTTCTCAGCACAGAGGAGAGGTGCAGATGGAGGACCACCAAGGAGGCCAGTGACACTGGACTGCCGAGGAACGGGGGCGGGGGGGAGTAAGGTGGAAGAAAAGACTGCCAAGGGTAGGAAGGGATTGGGTCATGAAGGCCTTTAAAAACCAAGGAGATTTCATTTTTTATCTTAGAGGTAATAGGTAATTCTAAAAAATTTAAGAATATACATATATATATATATATATATATATATAAAAAGATTTTTTTAAAAACCAAATTTTAAATTTAAAAAAAAGAGATAATAGGTAGTCACTGGGGTTTCTTGAATAGAGATGGGTGATGTGGTCAGACCCAAGCTTAAAGATCAGTTTGATAGCTGAATGAAGGCTGGCCTGAAGTGAGGAGAGGCTAAAGGCAATACTCCAGGTCTGGGGTGACGAGGGCCTGCCCAGGGGTCATGGTCATGTCAGGAGAGACATGTTTCTAAGGTAGCATCAACAGAACTGGGCACCACATTAGGTGTGGGGGAGGAAAGAGAATGAGGAATCAAGGGTGACAGCCCATGTTGTGAGCCTGGCTGACAGGGAGGATGGTGGTGACCTTGCTGCTGTGGGGAGTAATCCGAGATGGGATGTGGTGTGGCAAAGGCATTGATAGGAAAAGGGGGCAGAGGGCCAGAGTGTGGAGCGTAGTCTGGAATTGAACTCATTCCCCAAAAGCCCACGAGAGGGAAAGGAAGGTGGGTGTAGCATGGGTGTAGGGGGGGTTAGAGATTCTGAGGAGGACGATACAACATTGGTACCATGAAAACTAGGATCAATCCAGTGGCCGTGCTTGATTCTAGACACTAGACACTGGAAAAATACATCAATAAAACTTTTTTTAAAGGACTAAGTTTAGGGGTTGTAAGGCAGAGGGAAAGATGGAATGATTTCTTTCCATTATATTACCATGATATAACATTCCATTATGCAAAGTTCTCAGAGCAAGAGCAGCGATTCATTGTGCACCCACCAAGGCATGTCACCGTGTTTGTGGTCAGACGTGCTGTGGGCACAAAACTCCCTGCACTGTTGGCTCAGGTTCTGAAACTGTTGGTCCTGCCCTCTTGGTTATCCTGGTGTAAAGGTGAAGAAGAGCCTCTTGGGTCAGTCAACAAACACTATGTGAGTGCCTGCTCGGTGTGGTGTGTGACCCAGGGGAGGAGAAGGGAGAAGGGCAGTCATCACAGGGAGGAAAAGAAAAGACAAGGCAGTTGTGGTCTGGGGGAAAGAAGGGTGCCCCCCCTTCTTCATGGGTAGGAGGGGAGGTTGTCTTCAGGACGGATTGTGTGGGAGCCTGTCCACGGTGCCCAGCGCCGTGGTGAATGCAGAGTGGGGGCTTTGGGGAGGTATGTCTGGGTTCACCAAACAGGGGCCTGCCTCGGTGTTCACTGATAAGGTTGGCCTGTCCAGATTTGGGGGAGAGGAGCATGAGGTGGTCCTGAGTCTCTGTGCCCAGCTGGCACTGGGGTGTGATTAGGCACAGGCTTGCCCAGAACTAAACAGTCCTGCTTGTTGGAGGAGGGGGCTCTGCCCCACCCTGCCCTTGGCCAGGGCCCTCACTCAGCTCTGGCACCATCTGTGTTGCAGGTATGCCCCATCTGTTCAGCCATGCCCTGGGGCGACCCCAGCTACAAGAGCGCCAACTTCCTGCAGCACCTCCTGCATCGACACAAATTCTCCTATGACACCTTTGTGGTGAGTGCCCTCGGGTCACGGCCTGGGGAGGGGAGAGGCTGGCTGCACCTGCTGTGTGCCAGGTGCTGGGATACAAAAAGAGGCAACAAGCAAGCACATGCATGCAGACAGGGTATACAAGAAGGTTTGGAGAGCCCTAGAACTAAGATGGGCTGGCCAAGGCTTCTCGGAGAAGGTGGGATATCGGTTGGGGCTTAAAGCAAGCCAGAGAGGTCAGTGGTCAGAGGAGGAGGGAGAGCGTTCCAGCTTTGGGGAGTAGCTCCCCACACAACAGGATCTCTTAGCAGTTCCTCGCCTCTCCGAACCCTTCCCAACACCCTGATACCAAATGCTGGGGCCTTGGGCTTTGGTCTAAATGAAGAGCTGGCAGGGCACTGGCTTCTGGGTCACGGCTGGAATCGGCTCTTCCACAAACTAGGACAAGGCAGCCTGTCCAGGCAGCAGAGCCCAGCACTCTCCTCTTCCTGGGCCTTCATCTTGTTCTCTCTGGGCTGGGTATGACAATGCCTCCTTGCTTCTGGGTTAGGGTGATTGAATGAAGGCTTCTGAAGCCCAAGGAGGGGCGACTTGGGGCCTGGAACCCTCCAAAGGCTGCACCCCTGCGCCGCACCCTCCTGTCCACGTGCCACAGACAGCCATGGCGGTGGGGCCCAGGGAGTCTGCCAGGAGAGTTGCCACTCCTGCTCTTCACAGCCATCCTCTTTTCTTGGACAGCCCATTCACCTTTTACAGTAACTGCCCAGCCCTGACCACTGGGGGCCCTTCTTGCCTCTTCCACTACCAGGAAAATTGTGGCGCTGTATTAGAGTTTGGACATCACCTTTGACTTCCCTCCTTCTTCCTTCTGGGGCAATCTTGTGGTCTGTGGGCGTGCCAGCCCAGGTGGGCCACACACCAGACGCTCTCCTTGCCATCAAAATGGCAGAAGGGGCTTGTCCTACCAGAAGCATAGCTTCAGTGGGTCAGAGTCAGAATCCTCGGGTTTAGGTCTGGAAAAGGCTGAAAAAACCATCTAGTCTCATCTCCTGATTTTGTGGCTGAGGAAGCTGAGGCCCAGAGAGGTCCGGGGTGGTCGCAAGTGGCCTGGCCCTCGTGGCCACTAGAGGGCGTGTCAGGAACCTTAAAAGGCACTGATCCCTTTGGCTTCGGGGAGGGGGCTGAGTTCAGGCCAAGGGCAGCTTCCCACAGATCTTCATTAAGATGCTGAGTCATAGCCTCCTGTGGTCTCCTGAACTTCTCACCCCCTTAGATATTCTCACTAGCCGTGGCATGTTAAAAGGCCCCCTGCAGATGAGACTGCAGGGCTGTGAGTCAGGCTTCCCGGACAGATTTCAAAGGCCCCCCAGTTACAGAAAGGGCCATTCTCAATGAGGGTTTGCCAGTGCCTAGGAGGGGCGGGTCCAGCTTAGGAGAGGAAGGCTGGGGGCGGATGGTGGGGAAGGAGCCTCTTTAGTCATGGCTTGATGAACTATGATAGAGGCAGCTAGGTGCTGCAATGGGTGGAGCACTGGACCTGAAGTCAGGACACCAAAAGAGAGATCCAGCCTCCGACCTGCGCAAGTCACTTACCCTCCTCATAGGAGGTTGTGAGCATCAAAGGAGATCTACTTTGCAGACCTTAAGGTGCTCTCAGGGTGCTGGTGACCAGCTGTTGTATTTAGGTGGGGGTTAGAAGAGCTGGTCCAGATTGTGTGATTCTGCCCATGGATAGGTGTTGGTTGGGGGCTATTCCTTAGAGCAGGAATGCAGGGATCAGAGAAGGTCCCTGCTGAGGGGGACCCAGGGTGAGAGGACTGGCCTTGCAATTAATTAACTGTTCCCTCCCTGTCCCACCCCTGCCTGCCTTCCTTCTCTCCACAACTATCAGCGTCCTGGCTTTTACAGGGTAGCCAATGTACCTGTTCTTCCCTGACCCATTTGGCACCTGTGATTATCTGACCTCTGGATTCAGTATCAGTGGTTGCCTTTTTCCTGATTTGTCTTCATCTTTCTTGGTATCCAAGCCCTGTAGTAGAATCACTTAGTCAAAGAATAGGAACAGATTTGGAATTATTTTCCTGAACAATTGGAAGAACTCACAGCTCTGCCAGCAGTGTATGAGTGTGCCTGGCTTTCTGCACCCTCTGCTGTCTCTATTTGATGGGTGTATGGTGTTTGGATTTGCCTTTCTCTTACAGTGATTTGGAGTGTTTCTCTTTGTGTTTACTGGTAGTTTGCATTTCTTTTTTCTTTTTTAAGGTATTTATCAAGTTTATTTTAATTCATACATTTCATAGAAAAACAGTAAAAACACATCCATGCGTTACGAAAATTAAATTCTATTTACAATCCAAGGGAAGTGAAGACGTTATTGGCAGCAGCTGCAGCTCCCAGGCTGGGGGTCTTTGCAGACACAGCTCCAGGCACACTTGGTACATTCTCCTGGGCAGCAGGAGCAGCAGCTCTTCTTGCTGGAGGCACACGGGCATGATTGGCATTTGCAGGAGCCTGCCCAGGTGCAAGAGCCACCATTCTCGCAGGTACATTTGGGGTCCGTGGCTGGCAGGTAGATGTCAGGCACGCACTCCTCACAGCAGAAGGAGGACCAGGAGACAGACGTATTGATAGTTTGCATTTCTTTTGAAAACTATTCATAATTTTCTCTCGTGTTTGAGTCAGTTCCCTATCCTTTCTTTTCCCTAGGACTACAACATCGACGAAGAGGCTGCATTTCAGGCCGCCCTGGCACTGTCCCTTTCTGAGAACTGAAGGCAGCCCTGGCTGGGCCCGAATCCAAATCTGGGGTCAAAAGTCACCTTTTCCACATGGAGGGACAAGAGGCTTGCTCATTCTTCAGCATTCCCTAGCAGTTAGGCCTCCCTGTCACCTTTATTTGAATTGCACCTTTTTTAATAAGGTGGAATCTTTATTCCTTGCACAAGGAGAGCAGGCCAACCCCAGGGGTCAATCCTCAGTGCCCTCCCTCGGGTAGGAAAAGATTGCACCTTTTACCAGTTCAAAGGTTGGTCTAAGTGAGGACTTTCACCTCTCATCTGGGTAAAGTAAAAAACTGGTTTGTTTGGTGTTTGGAGACCCAGGCGGTCCCTAGAGGGCAGCTGAGTAGAGGGAGGGATGTCCGACTGCTAAATTGGAGCATCGAGTTGTCTTTTTTTTCTAAGCAATGGTTTGGCTTTCATGCTTAAAAATTCTGTTACTGCTGATCCAGACAGGTTAGACTTGAAGGGAGTGGAGAGGTGGGAGAGACTGGAAGAGAAACTTAGCTGAAGACCTGAACGGGAGCCCCATCCTAATATCTTGGCAGTCAGTAAAGTTTCCGCCTTGCTCATTTGGTACCAGCTTTTGTGATACTTAGAGATTCTGGCATTTTTCTATATTAACCAGTGTGATAACCTTTTCACATTTTATAGAGCGAGGAAAAAGCAGTTACTCTTCTTCATATTGCAATATCTGTGTTTGACTAGGAACAATAGTATTTTTATGGAACATTTAAAAAAATTATATTTTTTAAAAAAAATCAAAAACAAACCTAGTTACAGGATCAGCATAGGGGGATGATAGGGAACCTGGGGAAGCCAGAACCCAAACTGAAATTAAGAGAAATTTTTCCACTTGTGCTTGTGTGATTTTGAGGTGGCCACGTTCATTAGATTATTTCTATATTTTTAAGGTTTTCGTTGTGTCTGTTTACCTTTTGCTAATAAAAGAGACTTCCAGCCCCTTGTGCAAGCAGTGATGCCACTGGGGTGTCGGGTTCCAGGGCCCAGATGGATTTACACAGTGGAAACAGCAGAGTTGCTCCCAGGCTTAGAAGACTAGACCGGAAGGGCCCTTTTTATCACCTTTCCAAAGAGATGACTGGAATTCACTCCTCAGGCAGAGGCTTGGGGGACAGCCTCACCGAAGGACAGGGTCTCAGGCCCTCTAGCATCCCACAGATCCAGGCAAGGGGAGCAGTGTGGAGCCATGGACCATCTTCTCCGGCCAGTACTTATGCTCATCAATGGGGTTTGGGAAGAAGGTTGTTCAGCTTTCTGGTTTGTTTAATGATATAAATTATTGTTGTCTTTTTTTAAAAATAAAATAAAAAGTTTCAGAGCATCTACAGCCAGATGTGATAAGGGCTGTTTTATTCCCCAGTTTGGGAGTCTGGGAAAAGCATCTCGGAGAATCTAGACTCACCTTTGACCTCGAGTGAGGGAGAACGATATTCCCTATTTTAAGTAATGCCAAGATTCTTTCTACAGCATCTAGAATAGCTTCTGCTCGAACACCTCCCAAGGCAGCCCATTCCTTTCCTATTGGAAAGTTCTGACACTGAGCCACCATCCATAAATGCTGTCTGAATTTTGGTCATGGTTCTCTGGGCTGTCTTCCCACCACCTTCCAAACCTTAAAGCACCATGTAAAAATGAGTTGTTATTAAGTGCCCAGGGAGTGAATCAAAGATGGAAAAATGAGAGTCCATGTAAGTATAACATGAGGTAGGGTGTGACAGGCAGAAATCCTGTCCAAATGCTGTCGGAAATTCTGAGGAATGAGACTGGGTATGCGCCTCAGCTTGTCCTTTTCTGACTAGTCTGCACCTAGCCTGCACGTTGGATAAGAATCCAATCTCTCAGGGAGACCTGTTTTCAAGTCCTGCTTACACACTAGTTATGGGACCCTCAGCAAATAACTTCATTTGTAAGATGGGGCTGATGATAGTGTCTACCTCCCAGAGTTGTGGGGATAAATTGAGGAAAGTTGTGAAGCACTTTGAAAAGATTTAAGCACTATATGTACATACTAACTAATTATGGTCATACTGCAGATATGTGGTTTTCTGAGTTAATGTGTGGCCTTCAGGGATCCTAATGTAGTTTAGCTGCACTCCTTTGTATGAGTCTGACTTCATTGGTTTAGGACACCCAGAATCCAAAAGTTTTAAAACCCACGTACTGATCACTACCTAGAGCTGACTCGGCACCCCTTCACCCACCACATAACTGCAGTGAGGCTGCACTAGTCAATCCAAAGGCCTGACACAGGTTTGCAGCAAAACCCACCCCCACAACTCCCTGATTGCAGCTGCGAGCTCTGAATTTTACCTGAGCAGTGACAGACGTGGCTGCAGCTACCAGGCTGCAGGTTGGGGAGGAGAGCAAAGCTGCATTGTATGCTGCAGGAGATTGGTAGAACAGAAGGGAGAGGGCCAGATAAAGCTCAGCTTCATGCATTACCCCCAAAGCCTCAGAGATCCAAACTACAGAAATCAACTCAACATCAGCACGTTATATGGGGCTAGAGAACTAAGGAATAGATGGAATGGGGCAGGACATCATGGGGGTGGGGGGCTGGCAGGCCTGTGAGGAACTAACCCAAAGACAAAATTTCAGCATCCAGTTTTGGCCAGGTCTGTCCCCACAAGAGTCACTTGGATCAGAGCTAGGCTGGTGAACCACGAATCTCCCCATCTCAGGAGAGGCTGAGAGTGAGAAATCCATCAACTGGGAAGGAAGGGTTCAGAAAGCGAGTAATAGGGAGAGGGGAAAAAGACTGAAATTAAGATCTCTAGGAAGAAGAAAACTCAAGACTTTGAACATGAGCAGATAAGTCAATAGGGAAAACATTAACAGCAGGAAGAAATACAACCTCCAGATCTAGAATTTGAGACAGCAGACCCTGAGGAATTTGAGGGAAACATGGAGTAAACACTCTATTCCTGAGTGGTTTAGAAGGAAAAGAAAATTATGAGAGCAGGATTTATGGCCTGCACAACAGTTAATAGAATTGAAAATCTTTAAATGTTGTTGGCAAGTCTCACCAAAGGGATAAAAAGAACAATAGATTGGGAATGCAAATACAAAAAAGTGAAAGACAAAAGAGAAGCAAAAACCAAACCCATAACATTGAAAGTAAAAATGCTCACCATCCAAGCAAAACTTTGCTCTAGGTTTCCCAGAAGGATTGTGAAAGGACAGAAAACTCACCAGAAAGCAGCAAATAAGAGAACTGCCCTGAAGTTCTATCAATCAAAAGAAGTAATAGATTGCCTCCAGGAAAACAAAGTAATAACAAACCAAGGCCACTAACTGGTTAAATTTAACAATTCAGTTTTGAAACAAGTTCTGCAAGCCATCCAGAGAAAAGGCTGTCAAATGCAAAGGAAGGAAAATTCAAATAACCAAAGACTATTCTGAACACACAAGAAGACTTGGGAGAGAATGGAATAATGTGTTTTGAAGAGAAGTGAACTCAGGATGCAGCCAAATTGACCTACCCGGCAAATTTGAGCTTAATTGTAAGTGAATTTCAATAGTAGTCTTGAAACATTCTTTGAAATAAAGCCAGGCCTGAAGAGATTCTTTGCTTCTTGAATACCTTAGACTGCTGAAAGACAAGAATGGTAAATGAATGCCACAGGCTAGGACAGCAAAAGTTACAGACTGACATCTGAGAAACCAATAAATGTACATAAAGAAGTCAGGTGAAGCTTAGAGTGAAGAGGCAAGCCTGGGGCATTATGGACAACCTGGCAATACCCTACCTACAAGTGAATCATTTTTTGTTTTTGTGGGGCTGCGTTAAAAAATGGGATGATGGTTTATGAAAGGGAGGAAGGACAGCAAAGGGTTAGAAGGCAATGTGTGATGTGCTGGGTCAAATCAAGGGCTAGCAATGAGAAGAAGGTGATCCCTATGGTCTCAGGAAAAGAAGAGCCTGTAAGAAGTGGGTGAAGAGGAGGTAAGAATTGGAAAAGGAAGGGATGGAGGGAGGTCTTGTTTTGGGGGTGGCAGTGGGTTTCACTGATGAATATTCCTATGGGGGAAGAAAGATGTTCTGTGAAAGGTGATGGGGACCTTGTACAGGTGGAGTTTGGGGGATTTGGTTCTAGAAAGACACTTGTCTTATCTCATGAGGGAGGTAGCATTGGAACTCACATCTGGAGGAATGGGAGGGCATGGACTCAAAAAGATTTTTAGTTAAGTGAGGAAAAGAAGGTAATGAGGGGAAGGGCATAGATCAGTGTTGGGCTACATAATCAGGAATGGAGGTGGGGGGGTGCTGAAGAGTACTACCATGGTGTAGCATCCTCTACGGATGTGTGTGTTGCATGTGTGTATCCATATGTTTCCCAGTGAATAGGACTAGTTGAAGGGGAGAAGAGGAAATCTACTTGACCGAGAAAGAAAAGAATTAACCAGATAAAAGCAGGAAATAAAAAGGAAGTAAGCAAAACCCCAAAGGGAAAGTGCTAACAAACAGGAGGAGGAATCAGAGATGAGGGGAAGAGAATCAGTGGAAATACGGCAAAAGAGGGGGAAAAAATTGTAATTTTAAAAAAACAAGTATTGGGACAGCTAGGTGGTACAGTGGATAGAGCACCGGCCTTGGATTCAGGAGGACCTGAGTTCAAATCTGGTCTCAGACACATAACACTTACTAGCTGTGTGACCCTGGACAAGTCACTTAACCCCATTGCCTAACCCCCCCCCCCCCAAAAAAATCAAGTATTACAGTTAAATAGATGGAAATATAAGCCAAACTCTTATAACTTTAAATGTGGATGGATTAAACAATCCAATAAAATGAAAAAGAATGATAGTTTGGATAAGAAAACAGAACCCTACAATCTGTTGCTTACAAGAAATACTTTTTTTTTTAATCAGACATACACAAAACTAAGGATGGAAAAAAATTGTATTTTGCATCAAGTGAATCAAAAAAAGCAGGAGTTGTAATCATGCTATCTGACAAAATAATAATAAAAAAATTTAAAAATTAAAAGAGATAAACAAGGAAACTACAATATGCTAAAAGGAAGACAAATTTACACACTCCAAATGTGTTAGCATCCAAATTCATAAAGGAAACATTAATTGAACTACAAGAAGATATAGACAGTAACACAATAGTGACAGGAGATTTCAATATCCCTCTCAATTTTGGATAAGTCTAACAAAGATAAACAAAAGGGAAAATTTGGAACTAAACAAATTGCTGGAAAAACAAGCTAAAAAACTAATGACATCTTCTAAATGGGACGGCAAAAGAAATACATATTTCACAACACCACATGGAACTTGTACAAAAAACTGAGTATGCACAGAGAGATTGCAAAAATGTAAAAAGGCAGAAATAGTAAATGCATCCTTTACAAACCCATGACACAATAAAAATAGTCATTGGTTCAGGGACCACAAAAAAAAGACAGACCCATGTGAAGTCAATAAAATCCTAACTAAAGAGTGGGTCAAAGAACAAATCACAGAAACAACTAATAATTCTGTGAAAGAAAATTGTAATATTGAGACAGCATACCAAAATCTCTTGCATTCAACTAAAGCAGTCCTTGGGAAATGTACATTAACAGAACAGAAAAAGAGGATTAATTGAACTGAATATACATTTTTAAAAACTAGAAAACCAAGAAATAAGCAAATCTAAAATAAGCTCAGAAGAGAAGATATTAAAAATTAGAGAAGCAGCTAAATTTAAAACTAAAAAAAATAGAAATTGGGGGCAGGTAGGTGGCACAGTGGATAGAGCTCCGGCCCTGGATTCAGGAGGACCTGAGTTCAAATTCAGCCTCAGACCAAACACTTGACACTAGCTGTGTGACCCTGGGCAAATCACTTAACTCCAAGTGGGATTTGAAAAGACTAATAAAATTGATGAACCTTGAGCTACTGTGATTAAAAAGAAGAGAGCAGAAAACAAAGTAGATGCCTATCAATTGGGGAATGGCTAAACAAATTGTGCTACATGAATGTAATGAAATATTACTCTGCTATAAGAAGTGATGTATATGATGAATACAGAGAAGCATCTAAAGATCTATATTAACTGATACAGAGTGAAGTAAACAGAGTCAATAAAACTATACACAGGAACTATAAATAATGTTAGTGGAAAGGGCAATTACACATCAAAAAATCAAAAGTGAATGAAATAAAATTATAAATATCAAGTGAGATTCAGATGAAGAGATATGAAAAGACACTCCCAGCCTACTCTTTCATGGAAGTGGGAGGTCCACAGGTATTACACATTGCACATAATTTTGGACTTTTTCCAATGTATCAATCAGTTGTGGTGACTTTTTCCTCTCTAAAAACAATACT